TTTGGACAGAGGAGTGGAAAACAACAAATTGTTCAGTGAACAGTGAAATTTAAATTTCTTCATCAGATTGTATTTTCCTCTTACTTCAGCTCACATGCTGGACCAGAGCACCAGACAAAAGCCTTTACGAAACCTTGGTTCAGGCTGGGGAAGCTAATTTAATAGAGATGTACACATAATCAGTCGTGACTTCATTACAGTTGGAGGAGTCCTGTGAAGCATCACGACCTCACAGCGGAGGCTTCATTTGTTCGCTCATAGCTGCAGGAGAGACACTCATATGTGACCTGGAATTCATGTTTTACACGATCCCATCAACAACAGTTTCAGTACCACAGAAACACGGTGGTGTGTTACACTTTCGAAACTGCGTAACTCAAGTTCACTGTGCTGACTTAATTAAAAATAATTAGGTCACATCTATCAAAAGAAGCAAAGTATCAATTATGAGAGTGTTAATTCTTACACAAAGAAAATCAATTCAAAATGTAAAATAATACTGCAACAAATGAAATAATTGTGGAGCAACATATTACATTTCTGTTGCCTTGTTAAAGTGCAAAAGACGACAAGTAGTTATGCACTAGTTAATATTCTGGATTATACTTTTGTTTCATTTGATTTGACAATAAACTATATAATAATGTATAAAACCGAAATCCAATAAAGCTTTTAATATATAAAAATATCTTAAAGCCCCTATGTGTAGGATTTAAATATCCAGTGTGGAAAAGAAAGCACCACAGACGGCACCAAATTTCATTCATTGAGTCATTTTTCTACAAACCAAAACTCATTCCATCTGAATGATTTGAAAGTCACTAATGTATTCAAATCTGCACCACTGCTTTAAATGTCATCATTCCTAGACATTATATAGTCAATTCTTGCTTTTCCCCCTCTTAACGAGAATCATCTGCAGCTCCTGCTCTGCTGTTTCCCTCTAAGCTTGTTAACAACAACAGCTCAAAGAAGAAATCCAAAAAAAGACAAGGAGGGGTTTATTCCTTCTCTGGGTCCTGCGAGGCCGTGAACGTCCATAACATATTTCCTCTGACAGCAGAATGCCACCGGCGCCCCTGTAGGGGAATCATGAATGAACAGTTCAAGAGTGTGTGGACCAAATTTAATCCACACTCCAATATGCCAGCTGATTTACAGCCAAGTGCACTTAGCTGCACTTGCACAAACAGACCCGGAGAATACGCAAGTATCTGCAATGACGTATTCAAACAGCGTTTCAGTGGCTTTAGTGTCGTCCTGCACATCTTCAAGTGACTGCATGGAATTTGACTCCTCTCAGGAAAAAGTTTAATGCTTTAGTCAGCAAGTCGTGCTTTCAAGCTGTTGTTTACTTTTGAGAAATGATCTTTTGAAATGTCTCTTGTCAAAAAGACAACAGCAAAGCTGACTGACAAATGCTGTTGTTCGGAGGGAGTAACACTTCAGGCACTCGCCACTGAAGAGACAGCATAACAATCGTGCTGTGGAGGAAATGTATCAATACAGATTTTGGTGTTTTTATTTTTCAGTTTTATTTTTGCCTTGACGTGACAGCACACATGGTGCCACACTGCAGAAAAAAAGAGTCCTATACAATATGCAAGACTGAAAATTTTCCTAATTACTGATTTTTCTGTGATATTAATGGATGTTAATGGATTTACATGTGGTTAGAGGTGTGTGTAGGCAGCGCTGCAGCTCAATGCCCAATAATACTTTATTACACAGCTGGGTAGTTTAAATTATAGCAAAGGTCACAGAGGTGGCTGACTTGTGAGCGACAGATTTAAAAAGAATGGTTAAAATCAGAGCAGCAGAGGTCTAGATACCCTGACTTTTAGTCTGTACCATTTAAAAGTGTTGCGTCCTACCCATAATGCAGCTCAATAGCATAGTTCCACTACACCCTCTCTGCCTCCTTCCCATTTAAAGCAAAGGTTTTCTGTTAAAAACGAGTTGTTGTTGTTGTTGTTGTTGTTGTTGATAGAAGATAACCCTGATGACATCATAATGACATCACCAGACTTTACATGAGGATGCCTGACACCTGGTAAGTGTGTTAAGTTAATTTTTAATCTCCAACATAATTTGATATGGGCGTCCTGATAGCCAAGTGGTTAAGATTCCACATGGAATCAAATGTTTTGAGCAGCGAGTCCCCGGCTTGACTCCCCACCGGCTGGGCCGTTTGCTGCTTGTCAGGTCTCTCCTCTCTCTCCTTGCTTTTCCTGTCTGTCTCCACTAGTCTATCCTGTAAAGGATAGACTAGTACGTGTTTTGCCGCAACAACATGAAACAAACAAATAAACAACTTTAAATTAGACCTACTTGTTTATTGCAGCTTATTGTTCTCTGACTGCTCATGTTTCTTTTTTCCAGGACTGGAGTAGATTTTAGCATTTATATTCATATTAAGATTATGACTCCACACAATGCACCTAAACACACATAAACACACACACACAGATTTTGACCAGATCAGTTTTTATTTCTTCATTTAGATTTTCTGTATTCTACAAACACAGCCAGGAATAACATTCTGGTGAAGAAACTACTGATTATTTATTTACTGGCTGACAAGTAGTAAAATGGAAAAACTATAGTATGTCTAAAAAATGAAAATATTCGTGTGCAAAAATGTGAACTCAATCCAAGTTGCTAAAACAACTGAATTCCCAGAAAACGTATGAAGACATGAGCTCATCGTTGTCACTTGTGACTAAAGCTCTGGCAACAACTTTGTGCTCCTTGATTTAAGCAATTAATGGAGTTGTAGCAGACCTGAATTAGCCTTTAACATCTACAACCACAAATGGCTTTTGGTGGGTCATTGATTACAAACTCGTGATGTGAACAGGAAAACCCACACACGTCAGGTTGTCTGAAGCAATGTTCAGAAGTCTTTGGTTTGAATATTTATAATGCATCTATCATGTAGCTTGAATGAAGAACTGGAATGAGCATGTATGTGACAATGTATCAGACAATTTGGGAAAGTATTATTCTAATAACCTTAGAGTTATTTATAATAAAAGGGGAAAATACAATGAGGGAAACCGTTTAAACCAACTTTAAAAAGTACCAAGTGCCTGGCACTCTTGTTGCCAGAGGACTTCAGTAGAGTTGTCGTCACTGTGGAAAACAAATAAATGAATAAAACAATAAATATTAGATAAACAATAAAATAATATAATAAAGAAAGACGGAAAGTAAAATAAAAACAAGCACCTGCTCATTGTCTGAGATGGCTGCCAGCTGTGGGCCCCTCATACCCACCTCTGTATTCCTGTGTCGCAGCAGGCCTTTGATCAGGTAATTGCCCCTCGGCCCCCGGAGTTTGGATCCCCCATATGTCGCTATGGCGACCACCTCTCCAGCATCCATCTGTGTGCACCCTTCACAGCCTTTTTTAAGATGGACTTATATGTTCTGAGGCTGCAGAGTGACGGAGGAAAAGGGCAGCGAGGCGCAGACCACTTTAACAGCAACCTTTTCACTGCTGCTCATGTATGGTGATGAATGTGTATGTACATGTGTGTGTTTCCTTTTTGTCTCCTTCTCTGTCAGTCTGTCCATCCATCTGTCTGTCTGTCTGCCCGCCCACCACATCTGAGACACTCTCCGTGTCAGTGTCGCCAGACATCAGCAAATCCACATGTTGTAAGAGGATCAGAGTGCAGCTGGGGGGGGGGCTCATAATGCTGTTTGAAGACACTTTGAGGAGAGTGACACATTTTCTGTTGCAAGTTCTGTGAAGATTTTTAGCCCAAAGTGACAAAGCTAAATTCACAAATATTATATCTCTATTAAAACCCCTTAACATGAAGATTTTCTCTTAATTAAGGCTATTAAAGTCATGTGTTGCCACTCTCTCTCACCAGACCACATATTCAGTTTCAGTTTGTTCCAGCTCTTCATAATAGAAATAGCCTATATATACATTTATTCAAATAAAAGACCTACACCTGCACCTTTCTACCAATTTTAAATCTTCTAGATTTACAGAGCTTCAGTTTTGATGTGTTTGGTATCTTTGGGCGTTCAACTAGAATTTGAATGAAAGTTCTGTGATTTAGATAATGTTTAGCTGCATGTCATGATGAGTTTGTACTGACTGACCATGTGGTTGATGAGGTTATTTGGCCAAAAAAAAATTTTTTATTTCACATTCACACAGGAATAAAACAAAAAAAACAACAAATCCACATCTGGAGATTGTACAGTCTCACATCTTCTCACCCGCTGACCGCTCCCGACAGGAAAACGCGTCTCATTATGTGCCTTGCTTGAGGGCACTGCAGTAGAGTGGCGGACAGATGTTTAATGCCGTGTTTACCATGCATATGAAGAGTTTGCAGGTGCTGGGTGACAATGATCTACACACGAGAGACAGAAAACACTGAAGCAAAGATCTGAGGAAGCTGCAGTCTCGAAGCGCCGACGTTCATATAGAATAAAAGACACAGTCATTAAATGAGAATATACCTGGAATGATGCCCTGGATAAGAGCATAAATGCTGCTCATTTTACATTCATTATTTCGATTGTTTCTGCACATGCAAGAAGTTTTGGAACATGTAGATTGAAGTAAAAATATTATTTCAGTCTGCCACTCACTGCAACACCTACTGTTTTTTTCTTCATTATGTATAAGTCTTTTTTTTCCAATTGACTAATCTCAATTTCCAAGAGTCAAAGGTGACATCTGCAGATTGCTTGTTTTGTCCAGCCAACAGTAAAAAAAACAATTGATAGAAAATATTCAATTTATAGAGTTAAGATAAATGACTTCAATGATTCATTAATAATCAAAATTGTTATTGTTTCATTTTGTGTTGACTGAGTCTTTAGCCACAGGAGACGCACGTTCACCTCTTTCTGATTTTTTTGGCACTTCTCTTACAAAGAATTTAGTTCTGGGATGTAGAATTTAAAAAGCTTGAATGTGCACACAAACATGACTTCAGAACAATTATTTAAAAAAATGATCTCTTTATTGAACATGACAGAACATGATGAGGAACATGGAGCTTCAATCAAAACAATCACAGCTTCATCTATGCATAGGCTACAGACATCTCTGGGAATATTTAAGGATGGTGATTATCAACAGTAATCAGTAGGAGCCCTCTGATCAGTTTAAGCATCATTCTTTGTTCAGAACAATCTATGTGTGCCTCTTTAATGAGCCGTTGGTTTTTAGGGCCGCTCCTCTCTGTTCACCTGGATGTCTTTAACTCAAACCTCAAAACCACAAAAACTGAAACCCTCACGGTCTGCAGAAATGACACTTGATGATTTTCTTGAAAGCGCTCTGGAAGTCTTTGTTGAAGTACGCGTAAATGATGGGGTTGAGTAGAGAGTTGGAGTAGCCCAGCCAGTTTATGACATCCTCCAGCCAGCGGGGAATGTAGCACGACTCTTGGCAAAAAGGCTTGACCAGAGCGACGATGAAGAAGGGAAGCCAGCAGAGGATAAAGGTGCCCATGATGATGCCCAGAGTCTTCACTGTTTTGCGCTCCCGTGCCAGCGCAATCTTCCGCTTCGCCTCGGTCGCCTTCTCGTGCCTGCTTTCGAACAGCGGCACGGAGCTCGGGGTGTTGGGCAGCGGCAGGTTGCCTTTGGAGTTGCTGTGAACTTCGATGATCTCCAGAGACTCGCCGTCCTCCGCGTGTTTCACCGCGCCGTTGACGCTCGGCAGCGGCCGGGGCTCCACGCTCCTTTTCCAGCTCTTGCCCTGCGCGTCTCCGGGAGTCTTTTTGTGGAAGAGCGCCGGGGATAACGCCAAACAGGAGTCGGACACTTTCTTCTTCTCCGTTTTACGCACCGTCCTCCTGATCCGAAACCTCGCTGCTTTGAATATCCGCCCGTATAAAACCAGCATGAGCGTCAACGGGATGTAAAAAGCCCCAAATGTGGAGTATATTGTGTACCAGGGGTCTTGCCTGATCTGACACTGCTTGGGGTTCGCCCTGTCCTCTGCCATGCTGTTGGGCTGGGAGCGCATGATCAGCATTGGCGGCACTGAGATGGAGAATCCGACGAGCCAGGTGACACTGATGAGGACCGCGGCTCTCCTCGGCGTCCTCTTCTTCATGTAGTCTATGGGCTCTGTTATGGCCCAGTATCTGTCCAGAGCGATGGCGCACAGGTGCAGGATGGACGAGGTGCAGCACAACACATCCAGAGAGATGAAGATGTCGCATGGAACCTGCCCGAGAGTCCATCGGTTTAAGACCTGGTAAAGCGCCGCCATGGGCAGCACTAGCACCGACACCATCAGGTCGGTGACAGCCAGAGAACCGATCAGGTAGTTGGCCACATTCTGGAGAGTCCGCTCCAAGGCGATGGCTGCGACAACGCACGCGTTCCCAAATATTGCGCACAGGATGAGCGCGCCAAGCAGGAAAGATGTGACCACTTGATAACTCAGCTTCACCTCCTCGTCCTCAGGGTTGGGGGATATGTTGGAAAGGTTGTCAAACTGTGTCCAGGTTGTCGTGTTGTTTGTGACCTCCATTGTTGTTAAACTCGATGTGTTTGGAGAGCTTCGGTTACTTGCTGGACAGCCCGGTGCGCATGACACCGTCGCTCTCTGCAGAGCGCATAGTGGGGTCTGTTTGCTGCAGAGAGGGTCTGAACTGCGAGTCTCGGCTGCAGCCTGAGAATGATGCTGAGTATTTATACCGATGATGGAAAATGCGTCACTTGTCCGTGAGGATGTAACAGAGTCTGACTGTTAGTGTATGTTTAGTCGGAAGCTCAGGTACTGAAGACGTCGGAGTTATTCAATAAACAGCCTATAATAACTTTACATATAGTTTTATGATCTTCTGACTGAAAGGCAATTCAAAATGATATTCTTTTCTTTTTCTTTTCTAAAGAATTGAAGTGGATTTTGGCATTTCGGTGAGAAATCAGATCAGTTTCTAATGCAGCTTTTGAAAGATTCCAGTCAAAGGACACTTGATGTTAGTGAAGTAATCTGCAGTGTTTTTCTATTAAAGAATAAAGGAAACCTCACAATAAAAAAACAAACTTTTATGCCTAGTTGTTTTAATAGGACAAGCACATCAATAGCCTCATTGTGGAACTACTATAATCAGCATGTACAGTTTGCGAAGTTAAAACGTACCAAAATTAAAAGAAATTAATGATTTGATTGCATCTCGTTGGCATATTCCCAAAACTGTTTGACTATCATTACAGTAACCTTTACATGAGACGTCAGGCTTATTCTATTCTATTCTATTCTATTCTATTTTCTTCTCTTCTCTTCTCTTCTCTTCTCTTCTCTTCTCTTCTCTTCTCTTCTCTTCTCTTCTCTTCTTTTCTCAGCAGCTTTGATCACTGCACCGGGGCAGTCAGGTGTGACACTGCCACCTGGTGATAGTCCGCTTTCATAACAGTTATAAAATGACTGATCTTTAATATTTTTAGTAATTGTAAATCAAATAAATACATTTAATTTATTTTTATTTGGACCAAATAAAAAAATATGATTTCATTGGTATTATTATGTTCACAGAAAAAGTGTGAGAAATTGGGACTGACTGTTTTTGTTGATAAAAATTAAATATGACACTTCTTATTAATAACAATCTGATCAATTCTCTTTAGCTTCTCGGATTAAACTGGGCTGCAGGGGCAAAAAGTTGTATTGCTTTTGGGTAAATTTAGGACTGATCAGGAGGTTGACATATTAATTTCAGTACAGTAATATATTATGGTTTGACCCATAATCAAAGAGTTTACAGAGGTGGCGGCAGAAGTCTTCTTTTCTTTTCTTTTCTTTTCTTCTCTTTTCTTTTCTTTTCTTGTCCTTTTTTTTCTTTTCTTTTGTAGAATCTCGGGGTACTGACCCTTTAAACTGTGCTGCGCGCAAGCGCATGGTTTTTGGTCTATACCACTTTCCGTAATCTCCCACATTCTGTGACGTCACAGCCTACTTTAAACCGGAAAGCCAGTGTAACTTTCTTGTTTTGCACAGGTTTTCCGTGGTTTTCTTCTTTGCTACACTCCTTGAACAATGCCGAACTTTCAGGTAGGCGTGTGTATGGCGTAAAAATATTAATATTGTCAATATGAGTTTTGTCATTATGTGCAGGATGTTATTTTAAGATTTAAACGCCACAAGAGAGCCTCTTGTTGACAGAGCTAAAAGCTAACATTAAATAGTTTTTATTCTGCCACTGTTAGTATTGGCTGTTGTACGTGCTTCAACATGAGAAAATTAAACAGTAATTTCGCAGCTGTGGTTTGAACACTGAAACAGACGGGAAATCCTCTCAACCTGCTACAGAATCAACACCTGTAAACAAATATATTTCTCTTTATAGCCTCATAGCCCAGGGTCAGCAGGCTTTGCATCTAAAATTCCAGTCAAAAAATAATACAGAATACCATATATTACACAGTTGACAGTCCAACTCTGTAGCAGTTTCAACATGACAGTGCCCAGGAGCTCAGTCCTCCTCACCCAGCATCAGTGCTGGACCTCACTAATGCTGTTGTGGCTAAGTGCGAGCAAATCCCTGCAGCCAGGCCCTAGAAGTTGTGTAGAAACCGTGTTTTTTTAGCGGCATATTAATGCCCTTGGTTTTGGAATGACTTGTTCATCAATCACATTTGACTGTTATGTTCAGGTGGCCACATATTTTATTCATATGAGTAGTGTTTAGCACTTTCTCGATGAATTTAACAATTGTATTTGTTTAAAATACAAGCATTTCCTGTTCTGGTCTAAACAGCATTCTAAAGAGCTTCACTCTAAAAAAAAATGCCACATTAATATACTGTAAACTTGATCTTACAGTGCACAGCATCATGTTACTTAATATGTAATTAAGTGCCTCACTGCAATAGTCTCTCTTATTATAATTCTTGTAAAAAGTTTATCAACTCTTAAGCCTGAGATTTTATGTAACATAGGTCTATGTTTGAACTTTTTTTACTTAGTTTCTCTTGGCGTCATTACACACTACATGCAGAGAGTTTGGCAAAAGAAAGAATTTGATACAAATTATAGTATGTGAGTATTTCTAGTATACAGTATATATGGCTGATTATGCTGAGCTTAGAGTTTTTGACAATTGTTGTTTTTCCTTTCTGAATTCAGTCTAAATCTGTGAGGACTTTAGCCAAGACAGTGTCACTCCTAACACAGTGTATGCTGGTGCAGGTGGGTTTTCAGTCTTATGTCTTGACTGTGCTTATTATCACCATCAGCGGAGATGGACTTAAAACTTACTGCCTGAAGAAAGGGAACCATGCTCCGCTGCAGAAGGTGTCGGAAAGGCGTCATAGACTCAACATGTTTGGCCATGGTGGGTGGAAAATTTTCAATATCTGATGTGTTTAGCATGGTTGATCTACATTTGCTTCATCTGTAAACTCACTTTTGCATATATTCTCAGGCCAGTGAGCTGCTACTGTGCTGGCAGTGTTTGACTCATAGTAATAGCTGTTGCTGAGGCAATAAATCAGTGTGTCAATCATTTAAAGCATATCACCTGTTATTTTTGTTGTTGTTTAAACCATTTAACAACAATTTAACATTCTGTGTGTCCAGCTGCTGCTTTTCTTATGTCATGCGCAACTAAGTTTTGCGGTGCCGGTCGGACAAAACAAGACATTTTAGGGCATCACCTTAGGCTCTAGGAAATTTTAATGTGCACTTTTTATATGTCTATATGTCTGTATATACATATATATGTATTATAGTCTATGAAGTTGTCAGGGTGTTGGTAAATGTCAAAGATAACAGCTTGTGTATCAATCACAAACATGATTGGCTGTCAGAGAAGCTGGGTCTGATGGGAAGTGTTCTTATCGCCTGTTTGTCTTTTACACTGAGGCAGGTTGAGGCCACAGGTGAAAGCTCATGTGCTATTTGCAGCATTTGGCATGTGAATGTTGACACGTTGCCAGAGTGGATACTGACCTCAGTTCACCAGGTAAGTATGTCAGCTTAGCAAGGTTAAAAAATAAAAAAGTATTTTTTTTTTCTCATGTACATATGGATAACCTGTGATCATATTTTTAATTCTATTAATTAAATGAATATTCATTCAAAAATATCCATTTAAAATTAAATCTAAAGCACAAAATGTGGAAAACATGAAGTGGTCTGAATATTTACTGAAGCTGCTTTATTATCTGTAAATATTTTAACGTTTGTCATATTTTGTAGAATATTTTTTGTTGGATTTTAATTTAAAACTTTAAAAAATATACATACATTTAAGTCATTTATCCGGCAGAAATGCCAATTTTTTTTATTTCATTTTTTATTTTATAGCATTTTTATTTTATATTTTTATTTAGCATATGAAATGTGAGCATTTGCTGCTTCTTTCCTGTTTATATATCATTGTAAACAGAATATATTTGTGAGTTTGGATTGTTGGGCAGACAAGACAAGTCATTTGAAGACATCACCTTGGGCTTGTGCTCGGCAATTTTCACTATTTTCTTACAATTTAAGGATGAAAGAAAAAATCAAAAAAATAATTAACAGATAAATTGATACAGAAAATAAACAGTATTTGCAACTCTACTTTTATCATACAAAACTGTGAATGGATTTAACATTTTATTTTCAAGATGTTGTTTTGATTTATTTATCTGTGGTTTCTGACTAGACCCAGTGGACTGTAGGAAAACTCAACTGCCAGAACTGCGGAGCTCGTTTGGGCGGCTTCAACTTCATTGATCGCAGTAAGTGTCCCTGTGGTCAGGAGGCCGCCGTTCACCTCAACAAAAGCCGTGTGGATCGTGACCATAAGCACTACGTTCTCATCGTCCAGCCGAGGAGGAGGAGGGTGACAGCGAAGGGACAGGCTGGTCTGCAACCAGACAGCAATCAAAACAATGAGGAGAGGCATGAGTTTAACAGGACTGCACTGGACAGTTTACAGCGTAACCGTGCTGCTGTCATGTCACACATCAGCCCTGCAGAGGTTTCAAATTCACTAACTGACAGTGAACGCACCCAGTCATTTCCTTTCAGTCCTCTGTACTGCATTTCTCATAGGAGAAGGTGCAGTTTGGAAGAGGATGCCACCTTCAGGCCTTCATGTTTTTGCCCTTCAAGTCTTACGAACAAGTCTGCTCTTAATTTGAGGAGAGCAGGGACAGATGAGTCTACACGGTCACCTGTCTCATATCCCACAAGTCAGCAGCTTGACACAGAGGGTGAAGCCTCAGTCAATGCTGTTGCCTTCCATTCCTTTGTTCCTGGGGGGAGACAGTTACCTCTGGATCAGCATCTGCTGCAAACTGTGGAAGATGTGGGGTCTTCTGTAGAGACCACCGCTGTCCACGAGGACGTTTCTGATTCAACCCTCTTCCTCAGAGGACGAACCGTCTCTGACAGTGTAGCTGAGCAGCAAGAGGAAATGGTGGTATGTTTTTGCTCTTTTAATTGACTTTATAGGAGCTATTAGTAGATTTTGCTATATATATAAAATTAGTATTAACAGTTTTTTACTTACCGGTCTAAAAAAAAGGTTGCAAGTTCATTAAGCATTGATTAGAACTGTAGCCAATGATAATTTTGATATATTATCACATTATATTAACATAATTCTTCATTTTTTTTATAACTAATTTTATATTACATTTCAAATAACACATAATGAATTTGTAGCCCATGTAGAATATAAAGGGACGGTATGGACCAGTATATTCAGGGCGTCCTGCATTGTTTTATAGCCGAGGAGGGCCCTCTCACTTGAAACAATGACCACGTCCACTTACAACATAAAAAATGTATATACATTTATGACATAAAGTACTATTTCACATAGAAAATGCCACATTTTAATCAGTGTGACTTTTACTAACTAAATTGATCATGAGATGGGATTCATGAGGATATTTCACTGTGACTAAACAGTTTCTTGTGGGAAATCCTGGCGTTCCTTAAATAGATGAAATAATGGCAGCATATTACAAAGCCGCGAGAGATATCACAACAAAGGGGTCGCGCTTTCATGGCCTGTAGCAGAAGTGAGTCTGTAAAAAAAAAAGAAAAAAAAGAAGAAAAGTAGAAGAAAAACAACTATATATAGTACAAACAAAGAGAACAAAAACATGTTTATTTCTTGAGGCCTTCATGAGGTTTCTTGAAAAGTAATAACCTGATTTCCATGAAATGTGCCGTGAATGTTCATGAACCCCAGAGAATAGATCTTCTTGTCCACAGTGACCTTCTGACCTTTTCAACGGGACAACCATCAGGTCAACTTGTCTCTGTGTCAAAAATAAGCGGGCACATTCCCATCACATTTACTGATGACACTGTTGCCCAGAGGCTAAACCTTTAGATGTTAGTAACCCCATGACCTTTCCTCTACCTTCCTCCACCCTCAGGTCAAATTCAATCGTTTGAGCTTCACTAATGGTAGGGCTCAAATCATCAGTGTAGTGTTTGTTGTTTTATTTTATTCGGTGTTGTTTGATGCAAATGCATGTCTTCATACCCTGTTCACTTCAGGAAACAATAAGGCAGCTGTGGTTAAATCATTGCTGCTTAAACCAATTAGGTTTTGAATCAGTGACTGGACTGTGTGTGTGTGTGTGTGTGTGTGTGTGTGTGTGTGTGTGTGTGTGTGTGTGTGTGTGTGTGTGTGTGTGTGTGTGTGTGTGTGTGTTACCACCTTCATAGCCTCAAGCCTCTGTGACCCCCCCAGCCTCAAACAGCCTGAGCAAAAGAGAGAAGAACCGTCAGAAGACTCTGCGGAGGAAACAGAGGAGGAGAGAGCGATGGCTGCACAGTCAGCTGGAGCAGGAGCAGGTGAGAGAGAGCAAAGTTCACCCTGATGTCGTGGGTGCATGCAGGTGTGCAATTTAAAGGACTACCTATACTTATCAAGCTCTTCCACAGACTCATCAAGTCTTGAAAAATCATTGGATGATTTGTCAGTTATTAAAAAGTTTGGGAGTTACACAGGGAAGCTAGAGAGAAACAGGAAACTATTTCATCAATATGTATCTTATCTGTTAATTATATGATAAAGATAGTATTAAGCAACTGAGAGTTTTATTTATTTGTGCAAGTTAAAATGAAACAAACACATGACATGCAAATGAAAATGGAAAGTAGTGAGAGGAAAGAATGTGTCATCTCTATGGACGGTAAATAGTTATGACTCTTTAAAAAAATATTAATTTATTTTCTTTTAATATATTCAGTAGGGTTTTAAGCAGTGTGTAGTTTTAGGTAAATAATAAAGTTCTCCACATGTGGATTCTGTATATTAGTTTGAAAATGAAACATTAGCATGCACATGTGTTTGTGTGCAGGCTGAGAATGTGACACTGTTGGACAGTGAGGAGGAGGACAGAGAGGGTCTCACCTGCGCCGTGTGTCTGGACGTCTACTTCAGCCCGTACAGCTGTAAGCCATGCGGCCACGTCTTCTGCGAGCCGTGTCTTCGCACGCTCGCCAAGAACCGACCGACAAACACGCCCTGCCCTCTCTGCCGCACCCTCATCTCACACACCGACCTCCACCAAGGTCAAGCTTCTTCCTGGACTCCAAACCACACTTGAGAAATATCTCATTACTGATAATAATTGATATTGACAAACATTTGCTGGTTCCAGCTTCGGAAATGTGAGGACTTGCTGTTTTACTCACTGCGCTGTACTGCTCTCATTCCTCCTCAGAGCTCAACCAGACTGCAAAGGCCTTCTTCCCAAAGATCTACTACACCCGCAAGCAGAACTTCCAGAACGCCCCGTGTGCAAAATGGCCTCTGCCCAGCTGTCGCAAACACTTCAGTACCTTATGGGGTGAGAAACTGTGAAACTGTCATGTGGTCGTAGGAGCATGTTTGTGTCTTGTGTCTTGACACTAGTTCCATTGTAATCTCTGGATCCAGGGTAACCGGGACATTGGAAAGGGATGAAATGTAAGGTTGACATAGATGTCAAATAAATAAAACCAAGTATGTTTGCTCACCCTGCCATAACATTGTTCACTGAGAAAGACAGATATGTTATTGCTTTCACCCTGAGTCTGTTTTGATGAAAATGAAATGGTCATTTTTATGGTCATTTTAAAAGCTATTTGTAAATTTAGCTAATGCCACATAGCTAACTTTACCAGTCTAGAAGAAACATTGCGTGTTCAGGATCAAACTTAATTCCTTTACTCACCAAGAGCTGTCTCCAGTGGTGGAAAGCAACACCAGTCTTGACTCTTGTCTCTATCATGTCTTTTCTTCTACTAAAGTTAGCATGCTAAACAGTTTGCCCGGCCCTACACGTTTCTTTCTGATAGCGACTCACTGTAGCCTCCAATCTGTCCTGAGGGCTTTTTATAAACCCTTGTAAACACAATGATGGCTGAAGCTCTTCTCAAGTTACAATCTCCCGCTCCCAGCAAGAAACCANTACACGTTTCTTTCTGATAGCGACTCACTGTAGCCTGTAGGTCTTCTCAAGTTACAATCTCCCGCTCCCAGCAAGAAACCACGTTCAGCAGCAAAGAAAACTTACAAGTAGCCCCTTTAATATTAGCAGCTCTGGCTTGTTTTAATCCTCCTCAAAAAATCTTGTTCCCACACGATGGAAATGTAGCATTTGCAAGCATTTGCAAATGAATTACTTCACAGAAATCCAAAACATNACTTCCATAATATTCAGCCATCAGGTCTCTGCTGTTGTTGTTGTTGTTGTCTTGTTTTAATTCTGTTCAAAAAATCTTGTTCCCACACACAGCTTCTCTTTTTGGGATAGTTTACAGCAAATAACTTTGGATGGAAATGTAGCATTTGCAAATGAATTACTTCACAGAAATCCAAAACATCCTAATGGTCCAAGTTGCTTAATCATGCTGACTACAGAGTATTATTTTATGTGTTTAACTTTAGGGTATCAGAGACAGGCAGCGACAGCAAGGAGACGCTGGTACTTCCCCCATAGAGGCAACGCTGTGGACCTCGCCTGGGTGTTTTACATCGGCCTGGTCATCGCCTACATCCACTCAGTCAACTGGATCCTGGTTTTCTTGATCCTCTGTTTCCTCATGTATTACTTCTTCTTTTGAGAAAACTGGAGAATTCGCAATGCAGGTTTATCTGTCTTCTTTTTCTTTAAACAGATATGAGTTTTTGTGGTTTCACGGGTTGGAGAGTTGAACCTGTTATTTCAGTTTAAAATATCTGAGAAATAGCAGTGGTTGAGACACTGGTGGTTTTTTTCCCCTGTTTTAAGTGCAATAATTTACTCTGAGGTGTCCTAAGATACAAAAATAATGGACAAGACCTGAAGCAGAGTGCAGTGTCCTCTATCAATTCTGTTACTTCCTACATCAGGAAGACCTCATCAAAAGTGCTGTTTGCTAGTGAAATCTTAGGTGGTAGAACTGTTCGGTAATAATGGTGTAATGGTTTTTATTAGACTAAAAACTGTAATGCAACTTGATACTGTAGTTGTTGGGATTTAAAGAAATAGTTCAACGTTTTGGGGAAATGTATTATTCTTTCTCTCAGAGTCAGATGAGAAGGTTGATATGATCTCATGTTGGTGTTTTAAATAGGGAGCTGGAGCTGTGAGCAGATTAGCCTAGCTTAGTTAAAAGACTAGAAGAAGGGAGAGCCAGAAAAACACACCAACCAACCAACAACAAACAAGATTCAAAGTGTTAGTGAGCTTTAAAGGTGTTGGTAGGTGTATATTTTAGTTTGAGACAGAGCCAGGCTGCCTGCTTCCTCCTGCTTTCAGTATTTATGCTAATGACTCCAGCTCAGTCATATGATTAATAACAATCTTCTCATCTAACTGTTAAATAAAGCAAACAAGTTTATTTCCCCACACTGTCCCTTTAGTGTAGCACAGACAGGATGAGTCAAACTAGCACTTTACCAAAAACACAAGTGATTCAGCAATATACACACAAAACTTTGAAAAATGTGAGATCCGTCAGCCTCTTGTAACGTCAGCGTCAGCGCGACTGAAAGAATTTCAGTCTGGTATTTTAGTGAGTGTAGTTCAGTGGAATGATGTAGAATTCAGATTCAGGTAAGATGAATTGAGAGGCACTGCTGAGAAAGTTTTGCTTCTATGTGTACATGTTGTGTTATTTACAAAGGAAAGGGTTACTCAGGAACCAGATATCTAACAAGTGAAGAGAGCAGCATTGATTGATTGATCGATTGATTTATCGATTGATTGATTGATCGATTGAAAGGCTGACAGTAGCAGGGAGCAGAAAGAGCAGACAGATTTGTGTCTGTACGGTGCCTTTTCTCAGTCTGTGTCTTCCGTCTACAACGGGAAACATGAGACTGGAACCAGTCGATTTTCAGTTTTAGCTCTGTGAGTGTACGCTGTATTCATAGGAAGCCAGACAGGAATAAGCTTTTAGTGAAGGAAAACGACTCACAGAAGTTAGATTTAAAAAAAATATATATATATCAGCTAGATATCAGCATTCATATTGTGTAAAGAGTTTATTGTCTTACTAAAAATAAACTATAAAGGCAATCGGGTGTGTTATTTGAGTGCACCCATGCATTTTTTTATTTAAACATATAAGGTCAGATTCAGTATTTTCATATTATTCTTTTGTTTTGTTTGTTTGACTGCTCAGTAATACGAGATTGGACCACATTAGTGAATTGATGCAAATAAAAATCTGTCTAAATAGACAACTTTATTTAACAAAATGATGAAGCCTGGTTTTTCACCTCTCCACATTTCTCCCAGAACTCATCACAGTGGTCCTCTGTTGTTTTTGTCAGTGGTGTAAGTGAAAGAAGGGGCACCTCTTATGTCTGCTGGGACAGGGTGATTTTTTTTTTTCCAAGTAATTCTTCATAGAAAAACAGCATTTGTTAAAATGATGTGAGCTGGTAAAGTAGGATGTAAAGTGATGTTCTTACAGTGAGTTCATCCCGTCTGCTACCAACAGTCAACGTAGGTCTCTTCCAACCATGAAGGTGATCCTCCTCCCCACACTAATCTATATTTTCTGTAATGATCAAACGACTGTCTCAGCCCCCTCGCCAGCTCTTTTCAACAATAAACCCACTGTAGAGAGAAGCTAATAGTAGTGAGATGGTGGAGACAGTACCGCAGCTAAAAGCAGAGGGAATAATGGATTTATATTCATCAGGTGAACACAAACACACCTGTAGTGGTTTGATAATGTTACTCTGTGTGTGTTGGATGTGTTAATTAATTGCTTACACCGTAGTCCTATAAGGTCCCATATTGTACACGTTTCCTGTGTTTTATTTTGAAGTGTTGATCCATAAGAAGATATATTTGTGGATTTAAGAACCAAAAACCATCACAGTGTAGTTTTACATCTCCTCTCTCAGGCCTCTCTAAGGAGCTCTAGTAACAACAGGTCAGTGCGCAAAACAGAAGAGAGCAGGCTCTGAGCCTCTCTTCTGATTGGCTGACTGTTTTCTGAGTGAACAAATAAAAATATACCAGAATTCAAGTAAACACTCAGAAAAACCAAATCCTGCAAGGCTGGATGGTGGGTCCATATGGGCGGGGCTTGGGGTGTGGCTGGTTGTGGTGACTTTTGTTTTTTGTTGTGATCACAAAGTTCCAGAAGTCCTGACACTACCTTTCTTAATACAGGCTGTGTGCATTTCTCTGTGGACTGAGCGCTTTGATACTCTCACAGTATTAATACAGACATTAGACCTGCTTTATAATCAAAAAAGACATGGACATCTACCTTTATGCAATATGGGACCTTTAATAAGATGAATATGTCTAGGTTGCTTTCTGTAAGTTTATTTTTGAATTTTTCTTCCCCCTGGTGGTCAACAGAATAAATGCAACTTTAAACAAATGTTTAAACAATCACACTCAAAATCACACCAGCAAAACAATGGCAACACTTTGAAGCTGAATCTGTTCACATCTACAGCAGATCAATGATATGCAAGCAGACTTAGATTCGTGCTGTAAAAAAGTCTTTAAGGTTTTAGAAGCAGCCTTGAAACGCACTAACATGTCTAATTCAGTGTTGATAACGTCCTGTCACACAGAGGAAAGCCTGGCTGTTGTTCTCTCTGGACCACTTGTGCTCTTAAACAGTTAATTGTCAGTCGGAGGGTGACGACTTGTTTTGCTGTTGGCTCCCTCTGAATCCTCCTCACACGTGAGCGCGCGGCGGAAGACGGAGGAGCCTCCCTCTCGGCCTTCAGGAGGGGCTGAAGGTGACTCTCCTCTCGGCTGGGATGCAGAGGGAGCTGCTGGGGGTCCGTCCGGCCCGCTACACAGTCCTGCTTCGGGAAATAACGAAACACGCCAGCGGTGGGCATTAACCCGAACCCTCGACCCCGCAAGCGTCTGAGCGGGTCATTTTCCTCTCTATAGAGGACACAGCAGCTATCAGAAAAGAGAGGGTATCTCTCTCTCTCTCTCTCTCTCTCTCTCTCTCTCTCTCTCTCTCTCTCTCTCTCTCTCTCGCTGTCTGTCTGTCTGCCTGTCTGCCTGTCTACGTCTGGCTGGGCTCCGGTGGAGGGTGTGCATGAATGTGTTCTGCACCGTACGGGCGGAAAAAGCGCCCAAGATCCGCAGGGAGCATTTTCCCCGTCAGTAGAGGCTCGCAGACGGAGCCGGAGCGCAGGGAGAGCACGGAGGGGGTTGTGGACGCCAGCAGGATGGTGAGTACTGAAACACCGAAAACAAATGGTTGATAAAAGGGTCCGTGCTTGGCGTCGCTCTGCACCAAGGGACAGACTCTATTGTATCCACCAGATTCTTATCATGCAGCAGTGGCGCTAAAGGGACAAAAACAGGTGCTGAGCATCATTTAAGGCTTTTTTTTTTTTTTTTTTTTTTTTTTTTAAATGGTAATCTTTCCTTCATTTGAAGATGCATTAATAATCTATCATGGTGTGTTCAGGCTCAACCAGCACGGTCGGTGTTGACGGTTTGTTTTTTTTTATTTTTCTCCAGACTGTCCAGGAATTCAACACCCTGGTAGCGCTGTACCGGGAGCAAGTCATATCCATCGGAGAGATCTCAGCCGACTGTCCGTCTCTGCGGGCTCAGATGCACCACACGCGGTCCAAAGGATGCTCCATGGCCCGGGCAGCGCACGAGGACCTCGCCGTCATCTCTGTGTCAGGGTAGGAGAAGGAACTAAAGTGTGATAGTTAGAAGATTTCAACTCTCCATCACTGATTGTTGCAAAGCAATTTTTAACGTCATGAACCCTGGGTTTCCCCTTCAATAGAAAAACATTCCTCCAACCTGTATGACAGCAGCAGGCTACGATGTTTCCAACTTCTCCTTTGACTTTAAAACAATAATACAATCACAACATCTTATTTGTGGCACTTTTCTAAACAAAGTAGCACAGGGACTGAAAGTAAAACAAAAGATTGCAAAAGAGAAACTATGTATTGATATTCTGAAATTATGAGATAAGACGGGTAAAGTATGGAAGTAAAAAGCTGACCAAAACAAAACAAAAATAAGGTACAACTCAAAATAGGCACAGCTGAAAAAGAAGTGGACTGGTACCCTGCCTGCCATGAAGCCACCATTCCCACACACCTTGTGAAAGGTCAAATAAATGCAGAGAATTAGTTTTTCCACATGGGAAATACTGGTTTGAAAATCCATTTATAGTGTTCTTCAATAAAATTGGAGCAATTTGTTGAAGTGAATCTCAAGTTATTACTGAAATCCCCGGGACAAAGGCAGGCATCAGCTCCACTATGATGGGTTTGTGAAGTTCCAAGTGTCTTCAAGCTAGTTCTGCTTTTTTAAAAAAAAAAAAAAAAACTAAATCTGCAGCATGTTTCAGGACTTCAGTTATAATGTAAACCACATATTGCCCTTTTCTGTCTGATGTTTTTTTTTTTTTTTTTTTTTTTTAATCTCTATCTCTCTGTTTTCCTCCCTCGCTGTCTTCCTCTCTCCCCCTCTCTCACCCCTCCTCTTCGTGCTGCAGTCCAGAGGACGGAGAGATCCACCCTGAGATCTGTCGGCTCTTCATCCAGCTGCAGTGCTGTCTGGAGATGTTCATAACAGAGATGCTCAAATCCATGTGCCTGCTGGGGGTGCTGCAGCTACACAGAAAAAGTACAATCTCAGTATCATTAAATTTGGAGAGAAGAGTATTGAAAACCATGTCATTTAAAACGCAGTTTTTGATTACCCTGGGCAGATGTTCATGAATTGTGTGTGCTATATTTTGAACAGATTCAGTCAGTTTAACTGTCTGTGCATCACATGGCTACCAATGAAAAACATGGGTTTAATCAACTTAACTTATATTTATTTGATTTTGATACTAAATGTTGCTGGAACTATCTGCCCGTTTACAAGAAAAGAAACAAAGATCTTTAAGACAGTTTGACATGTCACAGCAGGAAAGTCTTAGAGTAAATATTCAAATGAATGATTTCATTGATTGAAATCCATTTAGCTGTTTCAGTGTCAGCGTCCTGGTATTGTTGCTGCTGTCACACTGTCAGGGCTTAGTGGGGAACTTGAATAGAATGGAGTCATTTTTAATGCTATTAGTAACATTTGTACTTTTTTTTTACCGTGACAAGTCCACATACATTACATAATCACACATAAAATTTATATTTAAAACAGGCAAATGCAGCACTAATAAAATAGGTAATAAATCAATTTAAAAGCCTGGTTATAAAAACACATTCAACAAAAGATTTTATGACTTGAAATTTTAGTGTAAGTCATTTCGAAGCCAAAAGGCTGGGCAGCTTTCTCTGCTGTTGCTCTCCTGTGAGCACTTGTGGGGGAGTATGTTGAGAAATCTGAGTAATGCAGGGATGTATTGAGTTATCAAACTATCTCAAACGCATTTCAAGTAAATAAATTAATTCAAACTGCATTTCCAAATGCTTTTCAGATCTATTTCACCTACGATTTTTCTGCTTGAAATCCAATCAATACGACTTAAAGTCCATTCAATACGTACAGTACATAGAGTATTAATTTTACCTCATTTCAGACACATGCTTTCGTTCAATTTCAACTTTATTGTTATCCTAGAGGCAATGTGGTGTGCATCAGGCACTAACACACAGGTCACTGATGACAATGAACATTAACACTTGTCAAGGACATAAAAGCAAAAAAATAAATAAAAATAAATAAAAGTCGAGGTACCACTTTACAATAAGACTACCCTCATAAAGGATTTTGGTACCAAGTAAAATAAAATAATATAGAATAAAATATTACACCAATAAGAAATAAAATATAGAAACACCATTACCCTCCTGTCCATAGAAGTGAAAGAATATAGTTAAAATGCAAAGGGGTCATAAAAGCTCCACTTATATATATCTCAAGAGATCACAGTTAGATTATACCACACACAGTATAACAGCAGAGGGCAACAGAGAGCTGTTACTATGGCCAACATTTACAGAGGGGCTTGGATTTATTTCCATCATATTTTTAAATAACATTTAATAAAAACTTCATTACATCGAGAGAAGGGACCATTTTCTGTTCCATTTCTTAATTAAATTAAATCCTATATTTCTGATTGGATGATTCCTCACATAGACTCTGCTTTTTTTTTGTATTGTTTTAAAAATCATCCACTTTTTAAAGAGTTTAATTCCCAAATGGGGTAAACTTGAGCTTGAACTCAACCAATGTACATCACGGCATTTTGAAACACTACATGGTGTGCACAAGAATTCCCATTTCCATATAGCTTTTAGATGTGGTTGTTTGTAGTGTTTGAGTCATCGGTGTTGACGGTGTCTGTGTTCGGCCCTGAAGGAACAGACTCAGAGCCGAGGGTAGACTTCAGGATGGATGAAAGCTCTGATGTTCCCATCCTGGAAGACCGATCCTCCTCTCCCATAGACTTCCCTCAGGAGCAGTGGTTGGTCGGAACCGATATTGAAAACATAGAGAGGTACGGTGACTGTACCTGCTTTTTAAAATTCCTTCTTACGCTGTTTTGGTGGAACTTAAACTCTATTTTCTTCTCGTGTTGTGAGCTCATGAGTAAACAATCCAAACTGCAAATATCTACCGGCAGATTCATTGTTTCTTTGTCTTCACAGAGATATTCGAGAGATGAGAAACTTACTCAGCAAACTCAGGGACACGATGCCATTGCCACTGAAAAACCAAGGTATGTAATGTGAAAAAAAATTTTTTTAAGACAATAATATGTGAAAATGATTCAGTACAACAACAGCTAATATCAGATAAACTCGGGTTAGCTGTGGTTATTGAATCATTAGAAAATAAATGTTCTTAAATTTAATAAATGTTAAAATGAATTTACTGGCACTAATATAATATTATCTTTAACTATGGTTTTTAGAAAGACTGATGAAAGCCTTTATTAAAAAAAGTAATCTGAAAGCTAGTGCAGTGGTTCCCAACCTGGGGGCCAGGACCCCCCTAAGCAGTCATGTGATCAATCTAAGGGGTTGTAAGATGTTTAAAGGGGTAGGAATGAATAGAAAATAGTTATGCACGAAATTACGTTTATTTTTCAGATGTTAATCTTTACTTTCTTATTGTGAAAAGCTTTATGGTAATACTTGTGAAATTATTTAAGTAATAGTTTGTCAAAAGTGCTTATTCGTTATGTTGCTGAAAATTAAATGAGAAGACAAATACCGCTTCAACATCTATATGCTAAATACAGCCAGCAGCTGTTTTAGCATTAGCATTAACAGCTGTTTACCTACCAAGAGCTTTGTGGTGTTTACAGTACAAGAGGTTACAGAACATCCTCTGTGCAGTGCCTTTTGTGTTGTGATGGAATAACAGGATGACATGATGATATTATTGTTTGTTCCAGATGACAGCAGCTTGTTGAATCTGACTCCACACCCGCTGATCAGGCAGAGGAAGAGACGCTTCCCTGGACTCTGCTGCATGGTGTCAGGCTGAGAGTGTGACGGCATCACTGCAGTCAACACACATACAGTACAACTGGACATTCAGTTTAGTTTATTTTGTGATTTATATTTATTAAGGGATTCTTTAATTTTTATCTAATTTTATTCTTCATTTATTTACAACATTTGATCTGAAACTGTAATCTTGTAGTATCTATTATCTTACTCTTTGTCTTTCTCATTTAGATTTTTACTTTTTGTTTTTGAGTTCTGCGACTTGACTCGTTAGGAATGTTTTGTTATTGAAATTTCCAGCTTTGGGTCAAAATGACATACACAGTGTCCCAAAAAGAATGATAATGGATAATGGATGAAATCACGCAAAATTATAATACGGACTATGGGCGTCAAATTTGGCAGCACCATTCGGGTACAGCCAGAATAGGCCCAGGCAGCAAAATAAATCCGGCCCATTCTTGAGTCATATGCTTGTTCTTCTGGCTCAGTATGCGCCTGGTTTCATGGCCTGAATCTGGCCCTTATACACCATGATAGTCGGACGCTACTTCTGTATCTGGACTAATTGCGGCACACATTCAGAACATTTTGCGGTTGTCATCCAATGCAACAGGATAACAGCTGGAATCTGCCCAGATGAGGAAGTATATGGGCCAGACTCAGGCTGAGGACCTAGGCATCTGTTCGGCCACAAGTTCAATTTTGCAATCTGGGTTAAGGATACAGGTACGGCAGGGTTTGGGTTTCAGTTATAGGCCCTTGTTATGTTTTGGGGTGCGATTTAATGTCAGGCATACTTGCATTAATTTCCTTTTTTTATCTTACACATGCTCTCACTTCCCTCCTAATCTTTCTGTTTTATGTTATTTGATATAATCAAAGTTAATAAATGTATATATCCAGGCTATGCACAGGCATCTTTTAGTTTTCAGGTGTCCCACTGTACATGTGCCACACCTCCATGTCTGAATGTTTTACACTGTGAGATGTTTTAGTCCAAACAACTCTCTGATGTATTTCCTTTGAGCATCATTCAGCAGAAGCAACTGCCAGGTGAGTCTCTGCTTACCTGTGTGGTGTGACACCATGTAGACAAAGCAATTCATTTACAGTATTATGGTGCAAACACATAATCTACTCCTACGTTTCTCTGTAGAAAAAAGTACATGTGTAAAATAAACTGTATTCCAGATGAGAAAAAGTTTCAAAGCTTTGCCAAAATACTAACTTTTAGACGTCATTAGCCTCTTTGTTTTTGCCACCATAGCGTCAGTGACGCATGATGATGTTGGTCAGTTCGTCTGTCGATTAATTTACCTCTAGCTAAAGTACTGGACTGATTTATTTGGGACAGAGGATAATTTCTAATGGTTTTTGTGACCTCCTGCTCTTTCCTGTAGCAACACGTCAAAATTGTACTAGTCTATAGAAAGGAACCTTAAAAAGTATTGCTTTTATGATATTTTCATGGAATTTCCTGTGTATAACTGTATTCTTGGTCCCCAGAGGATGAATACTCATGATTACACAGGCCTCAGCATCAGCAGCAGCCATAAACTCCAATTTGTACCCAGGAAATATTAAAAAATAAATAAATACATTTATTGATCCAAAGCCTGCTCCCCAGACGATGAACCCTTCTGATTTGAATGGCTACTTGACCTTTCCTCTAGCGCCACCCTCAGGGCTAGGTTTACATTTTTAGCGTCAACAGTTGATCTAATACCCCGTGCAGCTAAATCATCAGTATGTTGCTTGTTCGGTATTTTTGGGGGTGTAACGAGCCTTGCAGCCTCCAGGGTAAACTAGCAAGGCTCTGAGTCTTGTTTACTTTTCAGCACATCATTAGCAGTCTTCCCTGAAAAAGAACATGTTTAACTTTCAGCTTCAGTTTTTTTTCCATCACAAGGGCTTTGCAGATGTTCCACACACAAAAACAGCACAATTGAGGAGCCACACATACAAAAAACAAACGAACTGAAATCCACTCACAGAGGTTCTTATCTGAATCATTCTACTAGAGCCATTTTCTCATTGAATGTAAGTGCAATGTAATTTGTAAATTCGTGTTTGTGAAGATTTTTTTTGATTATTGTAATCTAATGTGGTGATGTCTAAATTGCTTAATTCTTTGTTCTGGCATGTATATGACTCAAACTAGGCCATGTGTAGTTAGTGTGTCCTGCAATGTAGAAAATTAACAGCTATAACTAGTATGTACAGCTTAGGACATTTTATAATGTGAATAAAGTTTTATATGCAAATAAGATGGTGTCTCATTGTTAGTTGTCTTTCACTTAAAGGAACAGGTCAACATTTTGAAAGTATTTACTTTCTTTTCTAATGAAAGAGAAGATCAAAATCAGTCTCCTGTTTATAAGCTAAGCACAGAGCTGGAGTCAGGGTGGTCTCGGTTAGCCTAGCTTAGCGTAAAGACTGGTCTGACCCATGGTCTGACCTTCCTGATTAAGGCTTGGACCCCCTCAAAAGAGGTTAAAACAACAGTTTGGGAGGTTGAAACATTTATATAATCTTCTTACCTGTAATTTTATTACAATACATTTCTCATATTCATGCCAGGAAGAATGTTGTGGCACCCCTAAAGTGGACTGTACTATTTCTAACATTTCCTCTTTCTGCCTCACTCCATCAGTGGCTCCCTCCTCAACTCTGCCCCTGTATCACACAGGAACTGTAGGTAAGTAGCAGTAGCTAAGTATCTAGCTTGTTTATGTTTTACTTTCTTAACATCAGAGTTTCCAAATTGGATTGTGTCAAGTATCTATGGATGAACAATAACTTTAGTGAGTTTATAAATTTAGCATTAAGTTACAGTTTAGCTAACTAATGTTATTGTTAGTGTGCCCTTTCCTTTCCAGTGTTAGCTCGTCATATATGATCTAATGTTAGCAAACACTGGTGCTCAGTCATGAGCAGTGAGACAATGGAGGATTAGTTGTCGTAGAGATATGTTTTGACATCAATATAGAATTTATTATTTCATTTAGTGTGGTGGTTTAGTCTTTTACCTTTAACATTAGTCTTTATCATAGACACCCTCTGTGTTTTCGCTCAAGCTTTACCTGGTTAGGTCATTGAACAATATTAAAATATGTGTGCCCGACACCTTAGTTCACTGAGGCACATACCTGCGCCGTACTGGGTTCCCTGTCACCCTGGAGAAGAAGTGGACCCCTCTGATTGTCATTGTATAATTCGCACTCTGGCTGACATTGTCCAAAGTGAAAAATTATGCCTACCAGCACCTTTAAAGCTTACATATTCAAATATACAGTATCTCCAGCTACAGTGTGGGTTGCCTGGTAGTCAGCAAGCACAGGGTTTGATACTACTAAACCTGGCAACCTCACATTCTCAAACAAGTCTGCAAGAAGCTGTGCAGAGTCACTGCACATGGCTGTTAACCATGAAATAGTGCTGGCACAAAACTCCCTCCAAAACTACAAATTGCTGTTTCTATCTTATATGAATTAAACAAATAAGATACAATATGTTAAGAAGTGAACTTGAGAGTTGGTGTTATATGTTTATTTTTGAATTTTGGACTGAGCCAGGCTAATTGTTTCACCCTGCTTAAAATCCGTATGCTAAGCTAGGCTAACTATAGCCTAACTCCAATTCCACATGAGACTGACATTGTTTTTTTTTTCAGAAATAAAGCAAATAAGAGTTTGTCCTAATTTCCCAACAAAGCCACAGTTTGCTTAGGAAATAAATTCATGTCTAAAGTTTGACAATAACTAAGTTCTGTTGTCTTGTTGCCTTGTTATTATTTTTTGAGTCATCTAGACTTTCTTTTTTTTTTTTTAATCACATAAATCTCTATGGCACATTCTTTTATCATTTATTCCCAAATCTTGAAAAGAAGAGATTTACAATACAATTACAATAAAGACATCAAACCAATTCATACTATTGTATACACTGAATGTAGCCTAATACATGACAACAGCTTTTAAACTTTTAAATAATTGTATCAGTTAAGCTGAATTCACGTATGTGCTTTGTACAATGTGGACCAGAACAATGTGTTCATTGTGTTAAGTGCCAGATTGTGCAAATACTTGGACAACTACAGAAGGAGTGAAAAGAGTAACTCTAGCTGTCAAGTCTTGAAGACACAACATCTGGTTTGTTTCTGCAGCTGGGAAACTCCAGAGCTTTTTACTTCCCGTAACAATGAGGGCCAAGAGGGTTATGTAAGAACATTATTTATTACTATGTACTATTATTATTCGCAAAAAGTAGATTTTCTTGGATGCCGATTGGGCAATGCAAGTCTAAAACTGACTGGATGCCCTTGAGAGATCACTGGGAGAGGTTTCACATTGCTGCTGTCAACTCAGACACAAACCTCAGAGTGAGGTTCAACTCTGTCTGCAGTGCAGAGTCAACTTACTGTGGAGACTCTCGACTGCTACTCTCGACTCTCGACTGATACACAGTCAAACACAAGGGTTGTTAGTTACATGCTCCAATATCCGCTGAAGAGGACGTCACTATATTTGGTGAGTAAGATTTCAATTTTTCTTTTTAATGTTAACTCAGCTTTATAAAATCAAATGTTGCATGAATAAAAATACATCAAACTGCAAAATGACCCATATTTCATTTGTGCTATTTCATTTATTCTTGACTTTTTTCTTATTAAATGCCTTCTTATGCCCCATGTAAAAACATAAAACTTTGAATTCACTCTGTTTATGAAAAAGTGTGAAACCAAAAACTTACATTGCCTGAGAGGTATATATTTAATGCAAATGAAAAACATGTAGTGTTGCCTAAATCAGTGTTTAACATGTTCAAGATCTAAATGTCAGGTACTGAAAGCTGCACTGCAGTGAAAGTTTGCAGCATTTTGGACCATAGTACAGTACAGTACAGTAAAGTAGATGGTAGTTATGGGTTTAGGTTAATGTATTCAAGGTCTGATCATCATGTTGACATGTTGATGAAGGTTTGTCAGGATGGTTCTCTGTGGGAATCAGTATTGTTTGTAATGCTGATATTTTATAGTGTTTATCAAAGTACAATTACGTTTCAGTATAATAAGAAAAAATCCAAAACACATCTTAAATCCAAACAAAAAATAAAATAAAATAACAATCAAATAAATAACCATTTTTGCTGTGTACTGCAGTTGTTGATTCTGGTCTGCTCATTTAATTATTTTCAGAGTTGGTAAAACCAGTCCAGACTCTCCTGATGGCTCCTTCCAGCCAGTTGGTCCTGCTGCTGCAGCTCCTCAGCTGCATATCAGCTGGTCTGGCCTGCATCTGTGAACGATACTCCTGGGGCTCCTGGTCTGCCTGCTCCAGTACCTGTAACTATGGTACACAACAGAGAGAGAGGTGAGACATATCACACATGCAGTAAACATAGTACAGACACAGCTGAGACCAGACATACAGGTGAGACTCACAGCACAGACTGACAAGCCAGAATTAGGTGTATATTGTTTTGTCTCCCAAATTTTCCAAAATAAAACTGAAAATTTAAAGCAGTTGTTGTGAAATACAAGCCTTATACAGATTGTCAACAGCTGCTCTACGTAAAAAGGATTTTCATACTTTTTTTTGGCAGGAATTTTCAAATGGATGACTATTACTGGAAGGCCAGCTGCCATCAGCTGTGCAACAAATACGACATTAGAACCTGTAATGAACAGTCCTGTCCAATCAACTGCTTGCTGACAGAGTTCGGGCCGTGGTCTGACTGCTCAGCCTGTGCCAGGAAACAGGCAAGAAACCCACAAGTCACACTACAAAGCAAACACTGACATATTCCTTCTCTGTGTCTCAGTTCTGTGCCACACCTAATTTTCTGAGGGTTCTGTAGGGTGTTCAGACTAGAAAAGTGACAAAAATTGATTGATGCTACTGTCCCACAATGCAATAATTGAAGAATATGGTGAGGCTGCAGCTAGAAATTATCAAAATAATTTCTATTTTGTCTTAGCATATTAAAAAAGTGTTTAATCTTTAGAAAAACATTTTGCCTTGTGACAAAATAATCTGAGTTTAAAGGTCCATTTTCTTCATTTCATAGTTTTCGATCATATGTCATTGTCCATAGCTTAGTGGCTTCATTGGTCTTTCATGATCATGGTCAGTTTTACTAATGCCCATCTTTGCATGTAGGGCGTAGATAGATACTTTATTTATCCCCTAGGGGACGTTCATGTGTCCAATAGCTCATTGTTGATAATAATAATAATAATAATAAATACTGTTAATAATAAATAAACAATAAAAATTACAGTTGTCCACTTCCTTTGGCTGAGGTGTTGTATAGCCTGATGACAGTGGGAACAAAGGATCTCCTGAACCTCTCTGTTCTGCAGCGCAGGGATATGAGACGTTTGCTGCAGCTGTAGCTGCTTCTCTGTCCTGCCAGAATGCTGTGGAGAGGATGGTTGGTATTGTCCAAGATGGCCTCCATCTTACATTGCATGCATCTCTCCACAACAGTCCTGAGTGAGTCCAGACTCCTGCCAAGCACAGACCCAGCCTTTTTGACCAGCTTGTCCAGTCTCTTTGTGTTCATGTCTGACATGCTGCCACCCCAGCATCCGTGTTCAGGACCTGTCCAGTTTACTGTCCAGGTGCACCCCAGGTATTTATAAGTGTGCACCACCTCAATGTCCTTCCCTTGAATGTTGACTGGCTGAAGGGTGGGCCTAGACTTCCAAAAGTCGATGACCATCTCCTTGGTCTTGGAGGTGTTCAGAAGGAAGCAGTTCTTGTCGCTCCATTCACTGAAGGCCATCGTCCGATCCATGTACTCTCATGTGTCATCCGAGTATTTCTGGAGGTGGCAGGACTCAGAGTTGTATTTAAAGTCGGCTGAATACAGGGTGAACAGGACCGGAGCCAGAACAGTCCCCTGTGGAGCCCCAGTGCTGCTCATCACTGTCCCTGAGACACAGTTACCCAGCCTGACGTACTGTGGTGGTCTTGTCAGGTAATCCACAATCCAGGACGTGCAGGGATCCACCCCCATCCCATCCAGCTTGTCTTTAAGGATGGGGGGTTGGACGGTGTTAAATGCACTTGAGAAATCAAAAAACATAATCCTCATGTAACCACCTGGCTCATCCAAGTAAGAGTGGGCCTGGTGGAGCATGTAAAGGACAGCATCATCCACTCCAATATGTTCTTTGTAGGTGAACTGTAGTCTAATGCATGTTCAACCTGTGGCCTTAGAAGGTGGAGAAGCAGCCACTCCAGGGTCTTCATGATGTGTGATGTGAGGGCCACCAGGCTGTAGTCATTTATCTCAGCCAGACGTCCTACTTTAGGAACTGGAACAAGACATGATGTTTTCCAGAGGACCGGGACCCTCCCTGTTTGTAGGCTTAAGTTAAAGATTGGACACACACCATCCAGGCCTGTTGCTTTTCCAGGACGTAGCCTCTTGACTTCTGTCCCCACCTTCTCCACTGTAAAGGACAGGAGACTTGACCCCAGTGTAGAGGGAGTTGCAGCTGCAGTGTCAGGTGGTGAAGGAGAAGTCGTAGGAGAAGCTGCAGCTGAAGCAGTGGGAGAGAGAACAGCTGTGTCACACCTGTTGCAGAACAGGTTGAACTTAAACCCATGATGAGTTTGAGATACAGGGCTAACTTTTGATAGTTGTTACTCACATTTATTTTTGTCTGTCAGTCATTTTTGATAGAGCAAATAGAACAAAGCAGCCAAACAAATCCATGGTATTCTTTCTACAGTGGAACTCAAATATTGTTCAGAAAGTCCATCCCATCATTGATGTTCCCAAAAATGTGTTGCACTTGCAGTTTGCTTTGCTTTCACCTTCTGTCCAGTTCATTCCAAACCAGCTCCATAGGGTTTAAGTCTGGCGACTGTGCTGCTCTTCCATCATGTATATGTACATAAACTATAAAATGAAAATGAAACTGTCTAAACTGTTTCTGTGGCAATTTGTTTCAAAAGCCCATTGATGGTCAACATGATGGTCAAGTCTGTGACTGAAATCTGTCAGCACACTGCATTTTAAATCGCATTGTCTCCCTGTCATGCCGTTGCCATAGTATCGAACCCGGTCCATCCAGAGGCCGTCCCAGTTTGGTGGGTCGGCCTGCAGTTCGGAACTGACAGAAGAGAGGGACTGTTTCCCCTCAAAAGAGTGCCAGTTACCACCCGTCGACTGCGAAGACAACTTCAAGTGTGATAATGGTAAGTAGTGCTTTTCCTTTCTTTTCTTTTTTCAACATAACTGATGTTTTATAGAATAAATGGTAAGGTGTCACACATATACAATCCTTTAAATACGATGTTGTAATGGTAAAAATGTTTTTGTATTAATTTCTTTATAATCACAATTATTGTGTCTTATTTTGGCAGTCAAGCCAACAGTTACAACACCCACTCACCCTCCCACAAACACACACACACACACACACACACACACACACACACACACACACACACGCATCTAAAAACACTCTTTCTGCTGCAGGACGCTGCATCAGTTCAACACTAACATGCAACAGACAGAATGACTGTGGAGATAACTCTGATGAGAGGGACTGCGTCAATCCCTCAATTGTGTGTCCAACCCCGAGGAGAGTGGCCCCTGGGGCAGACCTGGCCGGCAATGGGTAAGCCAATAGTCAAAAGGTCACTGCTGAGTTTACAACTTTAGTTTCCCTGTGAATTGGCTCACATTCCTCCCTGCTGTGGTCATAAATTACATTCCCCTCTGGCAACTGCTCTGCTGTCATGTTTCTCCTCAGAGTTAATTTTCAGAACGTCTTGTATTTTTGCATTGATTATGATGTTCTTCTAGCTCTGAATGCTTTTGTACCACTGCTGTAAACACGAAATTCAAATGTAGCCTGACTTGTATTACATTTTTGATTCAATACAAATATTGATACTTGAAAACATCAGATGACAAATATCTACCAAATTAGTATTTCTGTTCACATGAACACATCAAACAAGTATGTTATTACAAAGATATGTCTAAGTGAAGATATCACACCTGAACAATAAACAATTTGACAGTAACGATAAAATAATAAATTGCTGCTTACAAAATATCTATTGCTGCCGTTCACTGTTGGCCATCTTCTTTTTGCATATCATTGATAATCTGATATAAGACGTTTAGCCTGCCCGTGTTGTGCAGTGGATTTTAACTTTCTTTGATTTGTGTTGAAAGGTTCGATGCTCTAGCAGAGGAGCCAAGGGGAGCGGTGCTGGACAACATGTTTATGGGAGGAAGCTGCATTATCAAGAGACCTCCAACCACAAATCTATACCATCGAGTCCCTTACAACTTTGAGAGCTTTGAAATTAAGGTGGTCTCGTTATTTTGAATACTTGATTGTACAGCACCTCCACCATCATAACAAAATAACTCAACTCCCAAACAGAAATCAGCTGTCAGGGACATGATGTCAGGCTGAATAAAAGAAGTGAATTATAATTATTTTAATGGTATACATTTTCATTTGTAGTAAAAACGATGCCAGTGAAAATTAGTACTAGTAAATTAGTATTGGCTGTTGGCTGTGTGTCTTTTTGAAACTACCACTAACAGCAGCAATGGTCTGAGATTTTATCCTACACCCAGAAGTTTTAAAATACTAATGTGAAAAATGTTTTTCAATGGTTTTCAGAAAATGCCGTCTAAGGTTTGGCTTCACCTTCACAGATAAACACTTAAGGAAGAGTACAATTTTGTTTTGTTGTTACTTTGGAAACCTTGGTTTACACATGTAGTTGTGGTTGCACAGGTCGGAGTGGTAGAGGACTTCAGCACCGAGCCCCAGCGACTACACACAGACGCCATCATTATGAGGCCACCTCCAATTGCAGACAAAGCTGCAAAAGACATCCTTGCCCTTATAACACTCCTTCATGGCCAGAGTTACAACAAGGCTTTTGAATCTTCAAAGACAACGGTAAGTGACTCAGTAAACACACACATATTGGTAGTGATACAGTGTAGTGTAGTGAGGATATTCATTCAGAAAAGTAATTCCCTAATCCCCCATCCCTACATAAAAATAAAACATAAAAAATGAGGACCAGACACATTCTTCTTCTTATTATTAATTTCCTATTTTTCCCTCCGTAGGACTCAACGTTTTTTCGGGTGCACCAGGTTCTGCCTGTGTCCACATTCAAGGTGAAGGAACCAGGGGATGTCGTCCTGTCACTGCCTTTCCAAGAGTTCCTTCATGCTCTTCCTCTTGACTACAACTACGCTCTCTACAGGGAAATCTTCCAGCGCTTTGGGACACACTACTACAGCTCAGGGAAGCTGGGAGGCCACTATGACCTGCTGTACCAGTACAACCGACAGGAGCTCACCAGTTCAGGTACAACAGCACGGCCTAGTGGACAAAGTTCAAAGTTAGAATGACATGCTGGGCAGCAGTAATAACCTAAGAATGGTAACCTCAGAATGTTTGGGGTTGATTCATAATGCTACCTAAATGTTAAAATAACATTTTCTTCTGACATACTGTCTACTTGGTACTTTTGTTTCTGTGTCAATATTGCTCCACACTCTCACACAAACTCTCTGACAGGTGAAACACTAGCGCACACCTCAGGATGCCTGAAAACAGAAAGCCTCTGGACCATCATCGTCTACACCGAAGAAAAGGATGTAACCCGATGCTCTAACACCAAGATCACTCAGAAATATCAAGGTTACATCACATCATAAATTTTCTTAATTCCTGACTCTACTGCTCATGGTTTACTGACTGTGAAAAGAACAGTGACCTTATTGTCACCATAGTCTCTCTCACCTCTTGTCTTTGTTCCAGGCTCATACATTCAGGCATCAGAAAAGTCTTTCTCTTTAGTGAAAGGAGGCAGAGCCAGAGAGGCAGCAGCTCTGGCCTGGGAGAGGCAGGGCTCTGCTCCAGACAAAACTTCCTTCAAGAACTGGGCCAAGTCTGTTCTCGACAACCCGGCTGTGGTTGAATACAAGGTTAAATTGAGAGCTCCTCACTCAAACATCAGAAACATCTTCAATCTGATAATCAAAATGTCCCCTGAAGAAAAACAATCAAAGATATAAGTCAAGCTGACGCTCTGTTTATGTGTGTGTTTGTCCAGCTGCTGCCTATCATAGATCTGGTTCGGGGTATCCCCTGTGCTGTAACAAAGAGGAGACACCTGAAGAAGGCCCTCTGGCAATACCTGGAAGAATTTGATACTTGCAAGTGTGCTCCGTGTCCCAACAACGCCAGGCCCGTTCTCTCTGGCACAGAGTGCAAGTGTATTTGCCAGACCGGCACCTTCGGCACCAACTGTGAGAAACGGGCCCTTGACTACACTTCAGGTACATGGAGACAGCTGCAGAACACTATAATATTCTCTGTAATCAAGTGATTAAGTCATGACAACACTGTTGTTGGTTGATGAACAAAAACACAAATGCAGCAAAAGTATTGACTGGTGAAGTGGAAGGATAGCAGTGAAGTGGTTTCCTGATAGCCTTACTGTTGCTCCATGTAGGCAACAGAGACACAAGAGTCTCCTGGATAATTTAACCATACTATAGGTTCATGTTGTGACTTTCAGTTTTAAATATATAAATATATTTTAAATAACATTACAACCTGGTCTCATGTCAGTTTGTGTCCAGGCACACAAAATGTAATCTACTGATTTCATGGACATGGATTGTCCATTTTTGTTGTGACAGTCAGAATGACCTTTAGTCTGTAAAATAGTAAACAAATTTAATGTTGTGATTCCTATACATTTACAGGAATTTTCCATTGTTTTCGTGAAAGAAAAATATATAATTTTAGTGACCACAGCATTATTAGACTTTGTAATGGTTGTCTAGGCACTCGCACTACTTGGTTAAGGTAACCAAAGTGCTTTTATTGCCTAAACCTAACCACAGACTGAACTCTGGATGCAAACCCGGGGCTCAGGTGTGAAAGTTGGCCCGGGTACACCAACCCTACCTCCATTTCCATTTTGTGCTTAGTGTCCTGCAAAGCATGGACAATCCGCTCTTCAGAAACCTGTGTGTGACATCACAGAGTCTACGTAAATCCAGTTTATGGTTTTAGCCCTGCCATCATAATAACCCTACATTGGCAATGTCATGCACCTTGTTTCAGAGTAAGATCTTTAACATCTCATGGCCTTGTTTCTGTTATTGTAAATTGGCTGTGGATTTTTCTAGTCCCCATAGGATGAATCCTTATAATTTTGGTTACCTCCTCACCTTTCCTCTATAACCATTAAGCCTAAACTTGCACTTGCACATACAGAAGAAATCAAAATCTAATGAGCAGATTGTTTTTAAATATTTTGATCCCGCTTGTGGTCCCCAGTTGAACCTTTTGATTTCAATGACTCAATAACCTTTGGCCCCACTATTGATGGAAATATTGTAAAACTTGAAAATTCCCTCCAACACTTTGAAATTGTGGGATATGAAAAACACTGCAGTCTGTAGGGGCTGCTGGCAAGTCTTAATGGTTTTGTGGTTTGGTGTTTAATTTCCACAGAGGAGGTGGATGGTTACTGGAGCTGCTGGGGGCCGTGGAGTAGCTGTCGTGCCTCCATGAGGAGAGTTCGGACGAGGCTGTGTAATAACCCTGCCCCGCTCAGAGGTGGCCGACCCTGCAATGGTCCTGACACACTTTGGGATCAGTGTCACATCTCCATCTTTGCGAGGTAGGTCAAACTGTTTACTATTTAATTTGCTGAAATATAACAAAACCAACATATACAATCATTAGAAGTCACATTTTTGTCAGTTAGTCTTGTTTTTACAGCCTAACTTTCCCCATGGAAAAATGACTTTATCTTAAATGATCCTTTGTGTAAGTTTTGCTACTGTTACATAGCCAGCATTAGCATTAACAGCTGTTACTTACCAGTCTAGAAGAAACGCTGTGAGTTCAGCATTAAACTTAATTCCTTTACTCACCAAGAGCTGTCTCAGTAGTGGAGAGCATCGCCAATGTTAACTCTAGTCTTAACGCTAACCAGCTAGCCCCAGCCCATCTTGTCGCTTTCCATAGCGCTGCTCAGAGGGCGTATTATAACCTCTTGGCTGAGGCTAACCCAGAGAGCTCAACGCACTGCAACTTAAGAAAACACATGTAAATAGACAAACCGACAGCAGAAAACATCACAACAAATGCAATGCAGATACTTACCACCCGCTCCCAGGAAGACACCATGTTTGGCGGCAGAGAAAACTAACAAATAGCCCCTTTAACCCTTCATGATGATCAAAACTTTTTTTTACTAACTGAAACCTTCTAACTGACATTTTTGTAACATTAGCACTATTTCCACCCTACTATCTGTAAATACGAATGCACTACTGCTTCTACGCCCTCTTAAACTCAAATATACAACATTTCTAGGTTTTATTTAGTGTGTGTTACTTGAGATTTCTAAATCTTGTGGTTCATGTTTCCTTGTCCAGACAGGAGACCTGTGAGAACGACAACGATTTCACTGTGGGCACGAGGGAAAAGCTGCCTCCTGGTGTGCAGGGCTGTCTGAGGCCACAGGCGCCTGCGAACAGCTTCCTCAGGGTAAAGTCTAACACACCAGCCTGCAATTAGTAATTCAAATGTATGTAAGACACAGAAGCTAAAATGAATTTCTCATGTTCTCTCTCAGTATGGAAGTTAATTACTGCCAAGTAAACAAAATGCATGAATAGGTAAGAATAATAAAAACCAAAATATCCATTAGTATCGCTTTATGAGTAAGACTATTCATCATCTATAGGCAGTATGTATGTATAAAATATAAATATTATATAACACACTCTAATATAGTTGACAGTAGATCTTGAATTACTCGAGTGAAGCCTCCGAAGCATGAATATGCCACTTTCCGAAAAAAAATTGTTCAGTGATTAATTATAACTATAATTAAAATAAAATGATAAATTAAAAAGATATTAGAAAATGCTGAATTAAATTTTACAATGAAATTATACATGATGAGAAAAATAAAGTGAAATAGAAATTAAAAAGCAGTAAGCAGTAATTAAGTTTATTTTAAAAAATATTTCATTGTCTTTGTTCTGTCTATAAATAATAAATCAATTAGAATTACATTTTAACATGTAATTGAAAAGTTACATCAAACACCCATCTGATGATTTATTTACCTAATGATGTCATCAAGTTTATCTCAGATTGGACTTGACACTTCAGAGAGGGGGTTGTTTACCAGACAGGCAGGTTACAACAAAAGACACTTTAGAGCTGAAATAATTATGAGAAGAGGAGAAACTAGATTGATGCCCAGGAGGGTTTATATTTAGAGCCTTTCTAACTTTTTTTTCCTTTTTATTAATTCCCTCCTGTGACAGAAAGCAAAGGAGTATTATAACTTTGGTGAGGATGAGGAGTTCCAGTGCTTCACTGGATTTGAGCTGGAGGGTTTTCAGTACATCAACTGTCTTCCTGATGGAACCTGGCCTCAGCCAAATGGAAAATGCATCAGTAAGTTTGTTTTCTCACAAGTCCACTGAACAATGATCTAAGTAATTTGGCAACCACGTCTAGTATAGTCATGGTAACAGAAACTGTTAAGATTAACTTGAATATTGCACCTGCACCTGATATCTATGCTTATTTAAGGTTCAAATCTGTCCTCCTGTACCTCTAGGAAAGGTCTGTCTGCCTCCTGAGGTCCCTGCTGGGATGTCGCTATCCCCTAACAAAGACGAGTACAGAGTGGAGGAATCAGTGGGTTTGAACTGTAACCAGAGAGGCCTTTTGCCTGTGCCACTAACCCTCATCAAATGCAGCAACAGTCTCACCTGGGAGCCACCATTACCTGCTGACCTACGCTGCACTGATGGTACAGTAGATTACTCATTTTGAGGTCCCACGTGAATTAAGGGTTGCACATAAAAACAAGTGGGTGGAAAGCCAGCGTGCACCAGGACCCTTAAACAGAAGCAGTTCAATGGAATTCTAACATAACAAGATGTATACATGAGCTTTTTATATAAAAATACTGAGTATGTTTCTTATTTGTTTTCTTACGTCCTCCTGTATGTAGAGCAATCATTTATTCCAGAGGGTCAGTGTAGACCAGGAGAGAATCTACAGGGTTCTCGATGTGTCTGTATCCCACGAGAGAGCTGTCTGTAAGTCTTTAAGAAGTCTTTTATCTTACTTTATTGTATTTTTTCCTGTTTTTCGATGTATTCTTATGTGAAGCACTTTCAGCTGCATGAATGATCTTTTGTAAGTTTTATAAAAACCTGTGTTTGTGTGTGTGTGTGCGTGTGCGTGTGCGTGTGCGTGTGTGTGTGTGTGTGCAGTTCACAACCAGCAAATAAGTGTGCCCTGAATGTAAACATCAGCACCGTGGTGTCGATGTCCTTTTGCTCCTTCCTATCCGGTCGTTGCCACGGTGATCCGCTATTTTTCATCAGCAAAGGCACGTGCGACAAGGTCAATGTGGGGCAACTGGAGTGGGCCAAGTTCAGAGCCGAAATGTCCTCTAAGAGCACTGTTCAGGTGCCCTGTGATCTTGACACCTGTTATGAATGGGAGACTTGCTCTGGTGAGTTTGACATGAAACCGTTCTTAACCTTCAGTTTGCTGTCTGATGTGGTTGAGCTTTTCAGGAAGTTCACACTGATATATTTTAATGATTTACTGCAAAGTATAACATTTATTTCTTTTACAACCAAGGTCTTATTTTTGTATCTTTTGCTGTCATTCTGATGGGTTATGATGACACTGTGCTGTACAATTTAACCTCCTAAAAACTAACAATGTAAGTTAACAGCTGTTAACTTACCAGTCTAGAAGAAATGTTGCAAGTTCGGCTTCAAACTTCATTCCTTTACTCACCAAGAGCTGTCTCCAGTGGTGGAAAGCAACCCTTTTGTTTTTGCTTCTATTTCTATCATGTTTGGCATGCTAACCAGCTAGCTCTGGGCCAGTCGTCCCGTCTCCTAATAGAATTTTCTGATAGTGTAAAGGAATGAATGAATCACTCACAACTAGTCAACATGATTTCCTGATTCATCAAATATAAGTATTGAAGCTTCATCAAGCATAATTATGAATAAAAATTAGGAGTGAATACTTGAAGACTTCACATAGTAAGTCTATATCAAAGTGATTTCCTAACATTAACACACATCTCTCCTCAGCATCTAAGAAGTGTGTCTGCAGATCTATTCGGGAGTGCCCCAGAGATCAACAGCACGCGTTCTGTGTGAAGCTAAAAGGGATCCAGACGACTCGCAGTCTGGAACTTTGTCCTCTGGCCTCTCTCAAATGTGCCAGCCGTGAGTTTGAGATTCTCAATGAAGGCGCGTGTGTGTCCAGTTGATCTGTGACATAACACTCAACACTCAAATAATGTTGCACCACTGCTGGAAAAACTGAAAATAACTACACAGTTTAAAATGCATATGATTTCACTTAAGGCAGCTGCACTGCACTGTGCACTGGAAGCACAAATTTAGAACACTATAGACATATAGTACACCATGTTACTCTTTTTAGAAAATACATTATTTTTATAAAGGCAAACTGTACTGGAAAGCAGGTATACCAAAATCCAAGCACCTGACACATCTCAGAGCCAAAAGCACACTTAACGATAGGTGATGGAAAGCCAAGTCACATAACTGGGCCTTAAACAGATTGTTTAACATGTGGTACACAAATTCATGAAAGCACAACCATCTTTAAACTTGAAGATATTGTGGAAGCAAAACACGGTGACAGTGCTTTAAAAGGTCTGTAGTTGATTTGCCAAGAAAGAGAAAAAAACAGGAATTTAGTGATTCAGTAAATCACCTAACTCTGTTGACCTGATCTGAGCCACTTTAGTCAGTAGAGTCTAATTATAGGAATAGAGTTGAATATTTACTTGGCTCAATGTTCTTCACGTGTAATAAAAATATTTCAAAACAATCATAAGATTGTCATTTTTTTCACTTCTTACAGTATGTATTTCTCACTGCACTTGCTCACAATTTAAACATCTATTTACTATTTTGATCTCACCTCAGAATATTTGTCAAACCGTGAAATACACATTAGTGTGACCAAGCTATATCCAGATACTCAAGACTGAGACTAAACTGGAACCAGAGACAGATACCTGTATATCATATTTTTATATGACTTCCTCATTTGATTAAATGGTGTCAAAAAGGCCCCGTAACAATATTTGAATGGAGACCAAAGAGAATGCAGGAAACAATAGTAAATAATTATTACTGGTAGGGCTGCAAAATGAATGAAAATATAATCGAAATCACAATATGGCCAAGTGCAATATCCAAATAACAGGAGCTGCAATTTTGTTGATAAAAGTGAAATGTATCACAACATGGTAGTGCATTGTTAACACCATACGCGTTGTGGTAGAGCCTACAAATCATATTCTCCTGACGTAGGGGAACATGCTTGTTGGTACAAACCCCCCCAAAAATCAGATCATCCCCATTTAAAAAACAATTTCAGTGAAAATGAAATGCAAGAACAATCATTCCAACTAAAAAAACAATCTTTGGCAGAACATTCAGCCCTAACGACGGGGCTAGAAAAATGCCTACACAGCACATATTCTGATCAACCTGGCAAATCCTTAAATGCAAGTTTTGACATCACACAATCAATATAAGGTGTAAGGTATTTTAAAAATAAACATAATTTGAAGTCATTACTGGTGATTTGCAAAATTATTAAATATGATAGATGACCAAGTAAAATAATAATTGATATTTTAACAAAACCAAGAGAACAAAGTGCAATCTGACAAGTGTTTAATTATCTTCCTTTAACCAAAGCAAAGGCATTTATTTCAGCTTTTGTCAAACCTTCAGAACAGAACATTATTGCTTCTCAAGCAAATGTTGTCAGTTATCCGTCTCCACCTGGGCATAGATTTGCATATGGGAGTACAGAATTGTCCCTACCAATCTTTGAGTGAAGTTATGAGTGCTGTTAGTTCAGACCTCCAGCATGGGTGAAAATTTTGTATTTGAGATGACTCTCTTTCCTCTATTGTCTGAACTGCACAGCACACATAATTTAATTTTGTAAGTGTCAACACGTTTTGTACTTTGTAGATATCATGCAACCAAAAAAGAGACATCAGGAGCCTTTTTCACTTTCCACAGGAAGTAATAGATAGTGAACTGTCTAGCCTGTAGCTACATTAAATACCTGCTAGCTACCTAACATCACTAGCCTTACATTATTAGATTATTAATAGTGATGCATCACTGGATTATGTTTTATATTTTACTGTTAAATGTGACATCAAGGGGAAAAGGGGAACTACAACACTTGTAGGCCTACTGAATATAAAAATGCGTTTTTTCTCACTTTTCCATTAACAAGTTATTTCCTAAAGTTTACTTTCCTTTAGTCTTTGATCTGTTATTGTGTAAAGTTTTTTATTTAAATGTAAATACAGATCTTACATGTTAATAAACCGTTCAGTCGAAAGCATTAAAAATTCCTCTTTGTTTTGGAGGGATGGCTGGGTTGTTGTGTCCCTACCAATGTTGAGACCAAACCTACGCCCTTGGTCCTCTATGACAAATATAGGAAGAAAGCACAGGATGGCAGAGGAGCCTATTTACATCATTCAAGTTAAGAAAAGACATTAGCTTCTATTTACAATCATGTCAGTGAGAAAAAAAAATCTGTCCGGTTTCCAGTGTGATACTTCACAGTGAGTAAAACAACCACTTTCTTTATTCTGGACAAGCTTCAATTCCGATCACGTTCATCTGCTCCCCAGCACACCGTCTGGCCCCCACCTCGCATTCGCTCATCGTCGTGGCAACACTGCCCACACCAGAGTTAACGCACAGGGGGGCGGAGTCTTTATGGCATTCTGACGTGTTTTGGCATACGCACTTCCTTTCTGATTCTAGAAATGAAAAAGTAATGATAGTAGTCACACACTCATGTTAAAGGATGAAAGGATTTTTCTCTTTTCTTTTTTTAAAACTTAGGTCTTATTTTGGTAAGAAATGATCAACAAAACTACAAAAATGAAGTTGTAATGAAGTCCAGCAGACTCACCCTGACAGACTGTTCCTGGTTTGCAAGCCTCGCAGGATGTGAATGTCTCCTCTGGCCAGGTACAGTCGCTGTCACTGGCCAACGTGAAGCTCCGTCCCAAACACCGAAGAGCCCCGAGCTGACAGACGCTGAATAAACGGGCTTGGCTTGAGCTAAATCTGGTACACAACTGCAGAGAAGTCCTACATGAAGACAATATAAAAAGAAATACAGTATCTCAATTATTATTGTGCTTTTACAACTGAGACTGGACATTTTCCTTTGTAAAATGTGGAAATAAATCTCAAACGTCATACTCACGAGCACTGGAATGGCATTTTACACACACACCCAGTTTTTCCTACATTCTCCCACAGTTTACACTTGAGGCCGGATGGAAGAGAGGGAGGTGTAGGAGCTGAGATGAAAACATAGAAAGCTTGATTAGTGTATTGTGTATACCCCTCAGAAACACCATTGTAAAGTGACTACCAATTGACTAATTGTATGATAAAGGGTTCGCTTGTAGTGATGAACAAAAGAATCATCACTCAACTCTGCAGTTCCCCTCAGCTCTGTGGAGCTTTATAGCAACATTAAGCTAAGCTAAGTTTTGGTTTTCCTTCTCTACTGTCTCATAGCGTCATTTTCTGGCCACAGCAGGAAACTGTTTTCAGTTTCCGAAGGTTTGACATTACCTGCTCAGCCCCAAAAAGTAGACATACGAAACTAGCAACTAGCTAACAGTAGGGCATAGTGGAGCACTTAGCAGCTGAAGAGCCAGATATTTCCCCCAGGAGTTGGTAGAGACCAGAAACAAAGCTAAAAGAGAGTGAATATTAGACTTCCGTTGAAAAGATGGACAGAAACACAACACCAAATAAATGGAATTGTTTCAACGTGTATCTGCTGAATATGCAGAAGGCAACTGTTGCTAACACGCCACATCAACTTAAAATGTGATACTATATCAGCATTGTGTTCACAGCTTGTTTCCCTGCCCCCAAGTTGCCAAAAAAGATCAGTTACTAGGTTTCATTCAGATAATTTGGATATAGATAGACACACTAAGTTGAGAATGTCATATAGAAAAGAAGTTGTGCGATTTATTCATATCCTACATACAATCACAAATTACTATAACATGAAAAGTGCTATGTACATTATTTTTCAGCCATTTCTTTAAGTTTGGGTTAGAGTGGAATCGAGTGGAAGAATTAGGCTAAGCTCTTTTGAGGCGGCAGTGATTTTTGGTCACTGGTGGGCAGAAAAATGCCAAAACATGCTGACAGACACACAACTCTCTTTGAAATTATCACCATATGTAGTTGTCCTGGCTAACATGATAGCAAACAGAAGCCTGTTTACACATCCAGCAGACGCAGAGCAACATTATCATCTCATTTGAGTTGTATCTTTGTCCATCTGCTGTCAGCTAGTCTCCGCCTGACGCTTTACAGCAACAACATCTGATTATGAGAGCAAATGTACCTGCTTTACAACGAGCGCCTGCTGGAGAGGGAGACCACTGCAGACTGGGGTTGCATAGGATCTCTGACACTTCACCATCCAGCACCGACTGCGCAGGACAGGAGAGAGACACACTGTCTCCAATCTGATAGGCTGCTTGGGTGGGTGTGGCTATAACATCACCGGTGAGAGGGGGAATCCCACATGTGGAACCTGGGACAGGAAGAGAGGAATTTTGAGCAAGAGGAAGTGAGGAAAACATTAGAAATATTGTGATAGAGTGCCGCAGGGATGGCGTTTTTCTGTAGGCCAACCTGGAAGTTAGTTTCACCCTGGTTCCCTCGACAAAAAGCCAATAGGATTTTTTTTCCTTTGAATTACTGCAGAAAATAAGCTTACTAAAATAAGCATACTTACACGTTTTGTTCAGCTTGATAATCTTAACAAATAAACACAACTTTTATGATTCTTGAAGCCTACATACAATTTCCAAAAGTAAAAAGCTAATGTTATAATTGGCTATAAACCAACTATACCACGGTCACATGACTTTAACGTCACCACTGCTAAACTTCCAACTTGTGGTTTGATTTAGCTCTTACCTACAAAAGCCTTTCCTCTCACAAAGTTTGTAGTTTTTTAAGAGCGCAAGTATAAACACAACAAGACTGTAAAGGTGAACTGGTGAGTAGATTGGTTTTCATGTTCAGTGTGATGATGTTTAACGTCCCCAACAACCTCTGTAGTCTTATTTAGACACTTGTAAGGATGTAGACATAAAAGCTTAAAGAAATCAGGACTGGGGTATTTACTGATGTATTGTATGGCCTAGAATAAAACATCCCTATTTCAGCCATCTAACCAAAAACCCATTCAGAAAACCCAGAGACTTCAGAACGAGGTAACAGGAAGTGCTTAAATGCTAACTAGTTTCAAGGTTTTAGGACTCATTCCTGTGGAACTCTATTCCTAGACAGTTATATCTTGTGGGTGCACAAGATTGAGCAGTATAACATCTATAGAATTGGGTAACCTGCAAATGAATCAACATTTGCATAAAAAAGACACAGTGACAGACAATCATGCTGATTGTCTCGTCTTACTTCACCTGCTTCTTGGCCTATGGGCCAGCTTCAGACTAAATTTAATTGAAATCTGTTATAGTGACATATCCTGCTTTTAAACAAACGATACAACAAAAAAACAATTCTTCTTAGTAATGCGAAGACATACTTTTACAAACCCTTGTTTCTGTCGTCCACCTCTGGTTTTCAGTGCACCGAGACACAGCGTTTCCACTGAGGTGATGGCCGCTTATGCAGGAGTATTCCACTATGCTTCCAACCTGGTAAAAATCTCTTGGATTCTGAGAAAGAAATACAACACTTAATCACCTAGATAAAACTTAACACAGAAACTAATTACAGAAGAGATTCTTTTCAAACGAGCTACAAGTTTAATACAGTTTTGGAACCTTTTCTGTGTCTGAAAACAAAAAGCCAAAGTTGACAATAATGGAAATATCACTTTTGAAGACTCACCTCAACAAATCCATTCCTGAGGTTAGGAGGTGGACCACATGTTTTAGGTGGAGTCACAGAGAGACTGAAGCACTGAGGCTCCATCCTCCTGTACACACAGTTTACAATGAGAAAACTCTCAAAAAGCATCTCTGATACTTCTAAAGTGTTTGGATCAGATTAGACTGTGAAGAAATGATCATTTGATTTGATCACATTCAAATCCATAACTATGATCAAATCATTAAGGATATCAACAATACATTTCTTTTGTGGTCATGAAGATATAAATGAAATATGCAGGTATGTGCATTTTTTATAATCAAGCTTTGAAGGCAAAAATCTCCCATTCTGTAACAAATGTGGTTAGTACAAGATAAACTTCATATTTCAAGTTAAAACCTTTTGACAGATTTAGGGTTAGGGAAAGTGTCTGCTCTGCTACTGCATGACAAACAAGTTGTTGTGTGTTCATGTCCTTACTGTAAATACTGGATCTCTGGCTCCTCACAAGGACTCCGCTCCTCTTGCAATCCAGTGCAGTAGCGGCCGCCTCTGCTGGGCGCGGGATTGTTGCAGCTGCGAGTCCTCATCCTTTGACCATTGGAACAAGATCCCCAGGATGACCAGCAGCTCCAGCTGCCGTGGATCACCCCTAAGAGAAAAAAACACAAAGATTCTCTTTTGTGTTCTGTGTCGTATGTGAAGGAGTTGGTCGCGCTGACTGGATGCCATGGTAACATAAAACTTCAACATAACCCCTTTAACTTTTGATCATTTTAAAATCTTATCATTTGATTAGTTTAGTTGATTTGTTAAGTTTATACAGATCTTATGAGAATAAATGAGAGACTAAATAAAAATGTTGCAAAATACTTTTGTTTACCTGGTTGCTCTCCAATCACAGCTCCACTCTCGCAGGCTCGTCCGGAGGTTCCCGGCCGGCAGACGCAGCTACACTCGGAGCCTGTCAGCTGCGGCTCTCCGTTGTTCTGGCAGGGCCGGCAGTGACAGGGATGCTCCTCCACCAGGTACTCCTCTGTGGCTCTTTTCAGGTGGAGCTTTTTCAAACCTGCACACTGGACCTCCTTCACCAGCTCATACAGAGGACGCAGCTGTAAAACAATTTACAGTTTAGAGTTTCCGAATGAGCAGATAGAAAACACAAAGAAATACAGTGACTACTAGACAAGGAATTTAAAGATCCCGTATTTTCCTGTGTTTTATTTGAAGTGTTGATCCATAAGAAGATATATTTGTAGTTTTAAGAACCAACCATCTGTATGTAGTTTTACATCTCCTCCATCAGGCTTCTCTCTGGAGCTCTAGTAACAATGGGTCAGTGAGCCAATCAGAAGAGAGGAGGCTCTGAGCCTCTCTTCTGATTAGCTGACTGATTTCTGAGCAATAAGAATAGAGCAGATTTCAGGTAAACACTCAGAGAAACCAAGTCCTGGTAGGTTGGATGGTGAGTCCAGTTGGGAGGGGCTTGGGGTGTGGCTGAAAGCAGTGACTGCTTTGTTGTGACATCACAAAGTTACAGAAGTCCTGACGGCTCATTTTAAGGCTTCTGAATACAGGCTGTGTGCATTTCCCTGTGGACTGAGCACTTTGATACTTAATTTCACACAATAATAATTTCACAGTATTAATATAAGACCTAGACCTGCTTTACAATCATGATGTATCACTACAAAATCAACATGTATGGCAAGCAAAGGTAAGGGGAATAATAGGAAATAGAAAATATCAAAAAAGAGCCTTTTAATCAATCGGTCGTTCAGTAAGATATAATCAGCTGTGTCGACTCTCATACCTTCTGGTCTATGACATCAGGGAAGTCTTTGACAGATGAAGCCCAGTTATCATAGACCTCTCCGTTAGCTTCTGGATTTTCCAGATCCAGAACAGACAGAGCAGCTATGAAGGACAGATCTCCACCAAAAATGTTGACCTTAATGGGCATCTTATTTACATTGTGTCCTGTGGAAAAATGACAATAAAAACTACAGCTCAATCCAGTTTGTATATGATTGTCAAGCTTAACTTCGTCAATTCAAATCCAATTGAAATAAATGATTTCTTTGATTCTGCACTGTGTGGTTTGAAAGTGTATATATGAAGGCTTTCACTCACCATGGCTGGATGATAAAGATTTTGTCAGTTTTTCACAGACAGTTTTCACTTTCTTCCTGAACAAACGGCGTTTCACTTTCCTCCAGCACCTCTTGTACTCAAAGTCTGTTGTATCTTTACACAAGCAACGCAAGAGCAACAGATTTAGTACTCAGTACAGTTCAAAATGCTCAAAATATCAGCTGGCTGACACCAAATTTTGGCACATAGAGAATGTAAGATTTATTTAAATGCTTAAATAAGTCACAATTTTCAAGCTTTTGTTGCTATTAACATCAATACTATGTGTTAAAACCCATGCAAAAAAACAAATTCACAATATCCCCTAAATATATAGCACATTACATTCAACCCCTTTACATTTTACATGCTGAATCAAGTCAATCAAAAAAATCAAACGCTCTTACTGGATGAAGAGAGGAACTGACGGTCTATCTCCAACAAGGCTTGGTATTCGCCTCCGAGGGAGCCCTCAGAGAAGTAGTGTGTGCCGTACGTCTGAAGCAGCTGGCGGTAGGCAGAGTAGTCGTATGTGAGCGGCAGCGAGGACAGGGCCTTCCAGAAGCCTTCGGCCAGGGTAAGATACTGGGGGGCAGAGTTTTGGAACTGTGCCAGCTCCACTTTATTCTTCAGGATTATCAATCTGTGGGCCTGCAAGATAGAGAAGGTAAGACTGGTTAATTAAGACCTTTAACCCAGCTAGTGACAGGGCCTAAAGACAGCAAGTCATTCTTAAAGTTAGTCCAACACTTACAGTAAGAAGGAGGCTACAAAATAATGAGCTATTTGTGCGGTTATGTCGTCACCTTAGACTCAGTGACATCTCTGTGGAAGGTGCGGCGGTCATGTCCCACCAAGGCGTTGGACTGGATGTGTTGCATGTAGGACCAGGAGCTTTCGTAGGATTCATCATTCTCATCATTGTTTACTTTCACCTGCAGCACAAACAAAGGCAGCAACGTTCAACATTTGCTTTCAGTCCAACCCAATACTCAACAACCATTCCATGGATTGCCTTAAAATTTTGCTCAAGCATTCATGTTCCCCTCAGAATGACTTCTAATAACATTGATGGTCCCTGGAGTCATCTAGCACGTCATCAGATCAAAACTTTAGTTAGTTTATGACAAAATACCTGCAAAAGTGAGATTCTTAGCCTCAGCTGTACATTGTGTTTAACACTACAAAGCAAATGCTAGCATGCTAACATGCTGACTTGGTAAACACAACTCCTCCTCAACATTAGCATGTTAGCATTATCATTTTGCTAATGTTAGCATGCTGACATAAGCCTTACAAAGCTGTTAGCATGGCTGTAGACTCTTGTTATTATATTGGTTTATTTAACAGGGACCTAGGATGTATTAACACACTATTTCCATAAATGTGCATGAGTTAGCCAAAGATCAGTTCTCCCTATGCAGAAAATACAGTAACCTAAAATTACTAGAAAAAAATTGTGGTGAAAATACATTTCTATATTCAAGCATACATTACCAGTAACGTTTGGAATAACACTGTATTTATTTTGCTTTTTGAAAACACATAAGTAAATATGATATGTAATGAGATTCATAATAAACTATTATAGTAACATGATGGATAAAAGAAACAGCTGGATGATTGACTTTTCAAGCGACACCTTTACTTTTCTCCACACTTTGATCACATCACGATAACACTTCCTGTCTCTAAGTCACATATCACTAAACTGACCAATCAGAGGCAAGAAGGCCTTAGACTGAGGTAATTAAAAGGAAAACTAAAGAGATGGATTCAGGAGGTTACTATAACTGTTTTTAAAGATGCAGGTGTAAATATTTAAACTTGTCAATATGTAAATAATAATAGTGGGAACATGAATATGTAAATAGTAAACTGTATAAACAATGAACATATATTTGAATAAAATTAACTCCAATATACAGTATGAATCAACACCAAAACCTTACACTATCTTGTTAATCATGGTTTAGTTTCATCAAGTGTCATCGCAGCGACCCAGCAACTAGCTCAACTAAATGGAATGCACTCATTTTTACTGTTATCAATTACACCTGTGCTTTTTTTCAAAATGGTCAACTCACCTCAAAGTTGTACCGGAGGATGTTCCGTGGCAGTCTGTAATAGACTTGGTGGTCACCACTGAACACCTTCCTGCACTGGCCTCCAAAGCTCAGAGTGTTGATCACACCTGCTCTCAGTTTCCCTGTCAACACGTCATACCTGTAAAACGGGATACAACAAATCAATTTGATGGACTTCTTATCCAACAGTTGTCTGCATGACATATACTCATTCGCAAGTAGATAGTAAGGACCCAGTTTCCTGGTGGTGGTGGAGTGACTCACCCTCTGCCTGTGAAGTCAGAGTTGGGAGGTGTTTTGTGAAGGTCACATGAGTACTGGCTGTTGTCTTGGCCACAGCCTCTCTCATCCAGACCATCCTCACAGTCCTGGTCTCCGTTACACAGAAGAGAGCGGCTGATACACTGACCTGCATCAGGGTTTCAATAATACGTTTTCATTCCACATTGCAAAAGACATCATTTACAGAGAGAAAAAAATTGAATAATATGGATTATTATATCTGTAAAGTTTTTTGAATTATATATATATATATTCAAAAACTTTAACCTTAACTTTAACCCTGAAAAACTGACCCCAAAGAACGTAAATAAATAAATAAATGAATATGTATAGAGGAACTTTTGCTGTCATTTGAAATAGAAATTCTTCCTAATATGAGAAAATATCTGAGGCATTTTAGTGTGATACAATATACAGTATGTTGCCACATACCGGAGGTGCAGCGGAACCTGTCTCCGCATCCTGTTTCCAATGGACATCTTTTCTGTGGGACACACGGTTGTGTTTGTGTTGCTTCTCCTGAACATGGCACACCCCCAAACTGGGCATACACTTGCACGTGGCGAGTACGCACCTGAAAAGGAAGCGATTATACACATTGAGTTAAAGAAGAGATCAAATGCAAGGATGATCAGTTTCTCTTCTTTCTTCTGACCATTGTGGTGGCTCTATTTCAGGTCCCAAATGATAATAACTTCAAGCTGTGGAGTTGTTATGAGACTGAAGACTGAAGTTGTACTTTTATTTTTAAAGATAGAGACAATTGCTATTAGATGTCTTAGAGATTTTGACAGTATGATTCAATCTGGAGATACAAACAACTGATTTCATCACTCTAGTGAGCCCGTCTGAATATCAAGAGACTCTACATTACATCCCGACCCAAGTTGACAAACTCCATTTTCAGGCCTCTCCTCCGGTGAAAATCAAGTTTTTAACCTTATTAAAATGTCCATGATGTTTTTTATATAATGAACGACATATCACGAGTGAAAAAGGCCATCAATGCCATGACGGAGCTACAGTGAACCAGTTACAGTCTCATAAAAACAGATTCATACAGTGAGGGTGTCATACCTCATGAAACTACAGAACCAATCTCATCAACTTGTGGGGACAGGGGGCGGGGCTACATAAACCTGAAACCTTGTTAGTACAGAGACTGAGAGTTTGCATTATCATAGGGTGACCAGATGTCCCCATTTTCCAGGGACAGTCCCCGTTTTGGGTGTCTTGTTCCTGGCTGGAGCTGTCCCCGGAAATGTCCCCATTTTTAATCGTGAATTAAAACCAGGCCGGACAGAGTGAGTGGGCAGCAGAGACATCAGACAGGCAGATGTCTCGTGTTGTGTTTGTTTTGACCAACAGAGGTCACTGATGGCTCGCTATAGCAGCTTCATATCACTCTTCTTTTACTACTAGCCACTTGCTCACCATCTTGATACTCTCTGCTGTTTCACCTGTCAGTTAGCAGCAGTGGTGGGCGGGGCTCAAAACCTAATCCAGCTTTCTCAGTGAGGAAGTAACAGTAGATGTGCTTCCAGCCCCAGTTTTTGATTATTTGTTTTTTTTTTTATGTGGGAAAACCATGTTAAAGAAAATATGAATCATAGCAGAGGGTTTTTACATAGTTTAAGACATGTCTGGAAACGAAAAAAAAAGAACGCTAAAAAAGAAAAAAAATCAACAATCAATTTGGCCGTGCTACCTCCTGATGTGACCAGGCCTTCAGATTAAACCTACAGCATGATTCACACTCTGCTCAGTGGATTTATTTAAAAAGGTTGACATCACGACCATCAGACACCTTTGGACGTTTGGCCATTGTTGTAATAATTTGTGTGTCCCACTGCATTGTGGGAGCAAAAACCTGTTCACACACTTGCATTGTGGGGACTTGCCTGTCATCTGTGAGTAAAACCAGGGTCCCCACAAAGTTGGTTCATTTACTGTATCTTATTGTTCAAACTTGTTTTACAGTAAGGGTTTAAATGATGTAGGTTAAAGGCATTGAGCGTTTAGGGTTAAGTTTTGACCACACCTTCAAGGCAACAAATATAAATATACACAATATCCTCATAAGTAAAATATTAGTGTGTGTGTTGCTTTGAAGTACCTTTGTGCTGGTGCAGCCATCACACTCAGACCACTCTCCATAAGCCCCCCATCTGCAGTTCACAGGCTGCTGACAGCTGAGAGGAATGGACATTAACATAATTAAAAACATTTATGTTATATTATTCTCTCGAGTGAATGTTTATGAACCACGGCGCCAGTGATGTAACAGTTTATGTAACCATTCCCTGTTTTACAATGGAAGATAAAATAAAAGATGCTCCCCTGCTACGACACAACCTTAAGCCAAAAGAAAATTTTACAATACCTACCAAACTGGAGACAGACAGATGAGCAACGACACCAAAGAAGACAGAGCTGCTGCCAAATGCAACTGTGAACAAAAATCAAGAAGACAGTTTACTCAGTCTAAATGATTAAAAAATAGGATAAGATCATTCATGATGAAAACAGACTGAACTAAAACGATACTATCCACTTTTCGATATTAAAGCAACCTTCATGATGTGTTCCTCAGAGTCCAACCTTCTCTTCTGGTCCAGCACCCTAACATCCAGGGTCATATAATCAGCAGTGGAAGGCGATTGTGCAACAGAACCCCAAGTTCAGGAATTCCCACAATGAGGAAACTGGTATTCATCAAGTCTGAACCAGATATGCTCTGCCTCCGTTCACACGGTGAGTCATGAACAGGGAGACTCTGTTCTTTTCCAGTGCAGCTTCAGTCCAAGTCCTGTCACATTTAGTTTTGCTCATTTGTTTTGTCCAACGGCAGTCAGCCCATTAAAAAAAAGTGCTGTATCTTGCGTAAAGAAGCATGACGGGAGATGTTGCGACACAATTGTTTGTCCTCAGTGAGGCGGTCAGAATCTGCACGCTTTAGTCAAAGGTCAGAAAAATCCTATTTTTGCACATGCGTTTGACCCTGTTGCTGTGTAAACATGAATACACATGGGAATAACACACATCTTCATCTGTAATACTGACCTATTATTAGTTTTAATTTAATCCACATTTCATATTTGCAGCCAGGATCACGATATCTTTATTCAAAGCCATCCAGAGTTATTTATAGAGCAGTATTCATAGTTATATTAACATTTTTGGTTTGTTTTATTATTTTAAAATCTGAGCTCAAATATACAGATAGATATTCTTCTACTGCTTCTCCCCCCTTTGTTTCCATCTTTTCAATATTTGAACCACCTTATTCTCAGTCTTGTGTTTAATTGTTTAATACTTGAAGGGAAAACAGTGAAAAACTTAGGTCAAATAGGAAGAATGACGCACAAAATAAAAAAACTAATACACATTAACGTACACACATACTGTTCATTGCCACTTAGTGTTTATAGGGTTTTAGTGTCTTAAATTCTTCTGAAATCCCTTCTTTTCATCTTGGGCACAACTGAAAACATGATGAGTATTTAATTATTGTCTGTCACTTACTCATGTAGACTTCATCTCATTCCAGTAAAGAAAATGCAACAGCGACAAAAGAAAAGAAGACAAATAAATATCGGCCATAAACCAAAAAACCACAGAAAAACCTCACATCTACAGAAAGTAGAGAAACTTTCAGTTTTCTTTTAAAAACAACATAGCTGTGAATCACAGCTAGAGAGAGCGGAGATCTGTCACAGGCTGTGACAGATGTGACACAGCTGAGAGTCACGGCTTTGTCACTGTCTGTGACAGATCTCATGCGGTTTGTTTCAGATAAAAGGACCAAAGTCAACAAAAGCACCCTCACCAGATCTGGATCTCATCCTATAGGTCCAGTCAGAAAAGCACCAGCTGATGACTGGAGAGGTCTGACTGGATTACAGTAAAGAGCTGGGTGTCCTCAGAGGCCCAGGTGTAGCTGCCCTTTAGTGGGGACTTCATTTCTTCTGTAGTGTCCAGCGCCACAACACTGATCTCATACTGTAGCTCCTCAGTATGTCAACATGTTTAGAGGCAGGCAGTGTGTTTGTGTGTGTGTGTGTGTGTGTGTGTGTGTGTGTGTGTGTGTACTGTGTGTGGTTGGGAATGCTGTAAGATTCATATGATCTCTTTTTTACTTTACATATCTATACTAACTTTTTTGCCTTAACTCAGTCATTTCCCCACTCACACAATAACACGTGTGCATCTCCACCTGAAAATGAAGTGAAATTAATGAATAAATGAATCATTTCTATTTCAAAATACTCCAAACTTTTGTTTGGAGTTTGAGTTTGAGTTTGGTTGCTGGCCAGTCCTGGTTGGAAAATCTGGATTCAGGGAATGACCTTGCTTCCCACACACAAGACAATAAGAGCTCAGATATCAGCAGAAACCTAATGAGGATCATGACGTCAAACATGTGTCTGACTGTCTTATTTTGGTCTGCTCTATAGACTTGTGGTCTGCCGCAGTGCCCTGAAGCTACCACTGTGAGGTGGTAAAGATGGAAATGATCATCTTCTATAAATAGTGGATTTCAGTGATAAATCAATTTCAAGGTGATCACCTGGGAGCGAGATAATGAATAATCAAATGCAACATTCATGAGCTCTTCATGCACCAGTATCAGAGGTGGACAAAGAACTTGTAGAATAAAAGCCTGTAGAATATGATACAAAGCCTGTAGAAATGGCCATAAAAACATAATTGAATCAACAAACAGACAGCAATTGTCATTTTCATATTTCTTTTTTGAAGGCAGTGAAGTCTGGTCCTGGTAAACACAGCCAACATTTAAAACTAAAGGAATCTTTCTTTATTTTTAAAACTTCAAGCAGGGACTTCAGATAAGGCCATGGGTGCTCATGGGCGCCTGACTGACAGGAGTTGGCTGTGATAGTTTTTTTTCCAGTGACAAACACAGCACATGACCTATCCCATTTTCAAAATAAAATAAAATAAATTCCGCTGACTAAAAGCTCTGCTTCATAGAAATGTAGTGGAGTCAAAACTACAATATTTCTTTTCAGTGTAGTGGAGTAAGAGTAACAAGTTTCCAAAAATGTAATTCTCAAACAAAGTACAGATACTGGAAAAATATACTTGAGTAGAGTAGTCAGGTAAATGTAGTTTGTTACTGTCCAGCCCTGACCAGTATAAAACTGCCATGGAGACACAAAGGCACCAGTTTGTTTTTGAACTTAAAGCTGCAATAACCAATGTTTGTGTATGTGAAAGGGGTTGCATAGTCTCATAGTGACAAAACCCACAAATAATCATATTAATAATACAACAACCACCTGACTTGTGATGAGTTTTATAGCAACTTCAAAGATAACTGTTTTTTGGTTTTGTTTTCTGGTGCACAACCTGCCCAAACAGCACACACACAAAGTTAGCGACTAGCTGGTGAACATGGAGTGATTAGCTGCTGAAGAGCCACATGTTTTTCTCCCAAGTTTGTAGAGACCAAAAACAGAGTCACATTCATCAGGTGGACACAAACGCAACTCCGAGTGAGTGATTAGTAAGGCTGGGCCTGGGTTAAGGTTGAGTTTAAGGTAAGGGTTAGGGTTAGGCAAGTAGCACTTATGGTTAAGGTTAGAGTAACTCCTGGAGGGAGACCGTGTGTCTGTGTCTCTGTGTGTGTGTGTGTGTGCGTTTGCTATGCAGAGTATGTGGAGAGTGTGTGAGTGGTCCTCAGAGCCTGTGTGTGGTGTGGTCTGACGACTCAACGCCTAAAACAACTTGCTGCAGACATGTGAGCGGGTGAGACTCACATGTACTACTGACTGAACACGTACTGAAATGTGACTCCGCACAGGCTGGGAACTAGGCCGCCTGCTGTGAGAGAGTGGAGGAGCAGTGTCCTGACATGTAGACCGATAATATTTAAAGTTTGACAGAAGAAAAAAGTAGTTGAGCTCAATTTTAAATGATTTTCTTTCAACCCCTGTTCGGTTGATCATAGTTTCTTTCCGAAAATAGTTTTGGCACATGGGGCATAAACAAAACTTGCACCTTACAATACAGGTGAAACTAACAGACTTAATGGAGTTACTGTACAAATACAATACAGGTAAAATGATAAGCTAGATAAGACCCTCCACTACATTTCACAGGGAAACATTCTACTTCACATTTAACCACCTTCAGTTATAGATGGAGGACTTTACCTTGTGGAATATGGTGGTTATTGTTCCAACAGTAAAAGCCACAATTATTGATCCGAACGCACCACAGTTTAAACATGAAGTGTATGAGGGCAGAGATTTTGAATACTTCTTCAGGACAGACATTTTGACAGAATTACGTTTCAAGAGAGAGTTTTGTTATTGTACTTTCATACAACTAAACTGTAGTGACATCTCTCCATATGCAGCAAGCGTAAGAATAATAGAAGGATAATACATTGGTAAAATAGACAATAAAAACATAGGCAGGGAATAAAAATAAAGTAAATTATAGAAGACTAGCATGTGTTTAGATGCAATATACAAAAAGCCTGTAGAATATGATACAAAGCCTGTAGAAATGGCCATAAAAACATAATTGAATCAACAAACGGACAGCCATTGTTATTTTCATATTTCTTTTTCTAAGGCAGTGAAGAAGTTTGGTCCTGGTAAACACAGCCAACATTTAAAACTAAAGGAATCTTTCTTTATTTTTAAAACTTCAAGCAGGGACTTCAGATAAGGCCACGGGTGCTCATGGGCGTCTGACTGACAGCACTCATATAGGCGAATTACATTTTTTCCCTTATACACAGTAGAAACAAAAAACACAAAGACAGCTATAAAACAGAAAGAAACCAAAAGCAAATGGAATAATATAATGCTGGATATACTAAGGATGTTTATCGGGGTAATATGTGCAGTCAAATTGGCTAAGAGAGAACGATATGAATATAGGAAATTAAAACACTGCAGCAAAAATAATTCCGATTAGAAAAATGCAGACACCGCTTACACACACCCTTCACCGCCTTGCATCATAATTCAACGTCCCTGTCTCCACTTAATACTGTGTTTTGCTCATTGTTCCTTCACCATGATGTTTCAGCTTCATTGTGCACAATGATGTATGATGTATGATGAGTTTGACACCAGTGGTCTGATGATTATTATATAAATAAACTGTATTTTTATACTTATTTTATACTTAAAAAATCTAATGTTGTCTACTTTTATCAGGAATTCAGCATAGTGGCAGTAGCTTCGAGACCAGATTTGACAGAAAATAATGACTATACAGCAAAATAAAAGAATTCAATTAAAACAACGTTTTGTTTTCTTGCGAGTGACTTCAGTGTTTCTAAAAAAAAAATAAAAAAAAATAAAAAAAAAAGCGTGCTTGCAGGTCTGCTCATGTCCCAGTCATCCTTCCTTGAGATCTGCGGGTTGTGTTTTTTCTTTTTAACCCTGAGCTCGCCGGCAGATGGCGCCCTCCCCCTCTCCCACCCCCCTGCATCAGAGTGTTACATTACATTACCCGGGCACAGGCGCAGAGCGTCCCTCCAGCGGGACGGGATTTCTTCGACAGCGTCACCACCCCTCATGGAACACATTCGTGGCTGGCTGGTAGGAAGGAGTCCTCGCTCTGTTTGGAGGGAGTGAGGAGTTCATCTGAGTCACCTCGCCGTTTTGGCCGTTGTGTTTGGACGGAGAGCTCACCGCTGTCCACTGTGAGTTACTTCTCCTCTCTGTCCTGCATGTTTAATGTGTTTACGCAGCTGCATTGGAGCCGCCACTAACTGATAGTGGCCAGCTTGACTCATAATCACAAACGCAAAGCTTTAATGTGTTACACACAGGGACTTATCCTTGTTGTTGTGAGTCATTGTGTCAGAGCTTTGTTGTTTACATTTTCTCCACGATTCTTGCACAATAATCCCAGAAAGCGTAACACAGGAGCAAAACGCCTGAGCCCAAACTGTGAAGCGTTCTTGAAAACAAGCCTGACGAGCCTGAAAGCACTGTGGGGCAGTAACGTTGTCCTGTAGTTTTAATGAAGTAGAAAAAGAAGCTTGTCAAGGTTTACATTTGACAGAAAAAACATCTGTCAGGTCTACAGGTGCTACAAGGTGGAAAGGTAACTGCAGTAACCAGATGTGAAGGAGTTTGAGTTACTTCACTGGATGATTTCCATTTGGTGCAGTTTAAAAGGGGAATATTGTTAACTGTTTATTTGTTTTTTTTATACTGTATAGCCAGAGTCAAACTATTTGTCAGTGCAGCAGTTAGTCGACATACTTATCAGCAACTGTTTTTATGATTAATGAATCACTGATGCCAAATATTCCCTTTGCAGTCCCAGTTTCTGAGATTGTGAGGATTATTCTGTCTCTGGCAAAACAGGAAATTTGAGAGGAGTTAAAGAAATACGAACAGGCGTTTTTGCTCTCTGTTATTGAATAAACATGATCAGATGACCGAGAAGAAACGATGGATAGATTAATCAGTGATGGAAATAACGGTTAGTTGCAGCCTCTATCATACAGAAACACAGATAGAGTACGTCCAGCTTTATTTTTTATTTGCAGCATGTCAAACAACCACTGGATAAATTACAGTCTGCATGCCAGGTGGCTTGCAACCACACTGCAGGAAAATGCATTTTAAAATCTTACTTTAATGTTCTCCACAACTTTATGTCCTGATCTTGAGTGTGTTAGAGCCCACACCTGTTCGTGTGAAGAGAAATGGTGTTATTTCCAGCTGAGAGGGTAGTTTAGTCTGTCAGTCAGTCTTATCAGCCTGAGACAGAGTGAATAAGCTTGTGTGTCTCCAGCTGTGTGTACTGTGTAGACCATCAGCGGTGAACAGAGAGAGACTATACAGCCAAGCTGATGAAGAGTTACCCTCTCTCCTGATGGATACATGTAGTGATACTAAAGCTTTTCACTGCAAAGTGTATTTCGTCTCCACTTAAATGAACATAACATAATGTAACAGTAATTATTTCTTAGCAGACTGCACATGAGAACGTATCTAACCATCACAGAGCTGCATGATGCTGAACTTTAGAGGCTAATATAATGACATTTGAGAGTTAAAAACACAACATCTAATCATGTATTTAACATTTTGGGCAAGTAGCCTCATATGTGGCAATCAAAGTGTTGTCACAAGGACACGCACATTGTCAAGGAAGATCTCTATTTCTTTATTTCATCTTCAAGATTGTTCACCGGAAAAGAAGTTATTACAAGTAATTATGTTACTGAAACAAATCACGAATCTGCAGAAATACTTCAACCCAATTCAAGACAGAATAGTGTCAAATATAAGTTATATACAGCGGGGTCCAAAAGTCCAATAATATAAATGAATGCAGTATATTAGTCGAGCTCTAACAGAAATATAAAACTGTGACTGCAACATAGGAAACAGTGAGGGTCCATCTTTGTGTGTCACTAACAAAAATGAATGTATTATTAAGATGTGTATGACTGATAGAAGGAAAGATGCTGAACTAACAGGACAACGCTTACGAACATGAGTTAGCATCAGCTGGTATGAGGGGAGGAAAAGAGGAGATTATGTGACTGAGTGCATTAAGGTTTTCACTTAGTTTAACATCAACAGCTAAATAGAGAACTTTGGGTTTGGGCAGAAATATTGGCTTCATATTGATTCATTGGTTGACCGTTTTTTTTTTTTTTGATGAACTGATTAAATGTTTTGTGTGTAAAATGTAAAAAAAAAAAAAGCACATCACTGAAGCTGACATCTTCAAATGGCTTGTTCCAAACCTGCAAGACATTTCTTTCTTTTTATTATTTACAATCATGTAAAACTGAGAAAAGCAACAAATCCACACATTCAGTAAATGGCTTAAAGATTAATTGACTGATTAATTGAAGCTATTCATAATTAATTTGCTTTTCATTAGCTAATCAGTTGATTTGCTAAGAATTGGGTCCATTGTTAGGTGAAAACTATTTTCACAAAAATCCACCATAAAAGTATTTCATACTGCAAAGGTCTGATCATTTATCTTATCCATGCTCGTGAATGACAAGGCAATATTTTGCAAAAGTGAAATGGAAACACTTATTTAAGTCACATGACATGACTTGAGTGGTCACATGACTTTCAAAAACACTGCACGGACTATTGTCTCCCAACAATCCCTGATGTGTTGCGGCTGTCAGATAAAAGGGGTTTGCCTTCGTCGCCGTTGAGTAAATACTGCGGTGGGTGCTGTCAAAATCCCTGTCCCAACACTATAAATGTAAAGAAAAATGCTGACCTGTTTAATTGGAATGATATTGCGAGAGAAGAAGACCCAGCATTAGTTGCATAACATAACATCAGTAGAAAAAGAGACCATTCGCAATTGTGTTTTGTCGACTTTCCCATGAAATCACTTCTATTTTGTACAAAACTGCAGTGGAAACTCAGCTAGTGACTTGTTCTCAGTGTTTTTTTCTTTGAGGCCACATACTTTTTCTTTTTTTTTCTGGCCTTTGACACATTTTTGGGCCCTGAAATTTTCAAAATGTCAATATTTAGACAGCTTTTAAGTTGCCATTGAAATCTGAAAATGAGATTGCTATTCATATCTTAGTCAGAAAGCAGCCACAAATATATCCCAAAGATACTGTGAAGTATTTTTAAAACAATATATCAGGCTGAGAAATCTCTTAGGGACTCTTATCTATCAAACCTCACATGGGGACCAGGCTTCTGGGTTGAAAACCTCTGGATTAGAGGATAAATAAATATGAATCCCATACAAGGATAAGTAAATAAGATCTAAATGAGGCCCAGAACGTAGTAGGGATAGATTTCACAAGTGTTGACAGAAATCCAGCAGTGCTGGCACAGAATGAATGTCATGTTCAGAACAAAACTGTTTACTGTTTCAAAACGTGCCTCTCCAGGAAGAATTAAGCGTGTGAATACCTGGAAGAAACTAATGAGTAAAACATGCTCGCGTTCTGATTTAGACCCGCTGGTCCTCCCTGCTGTCCAATAAGTGTGGTGTACTATGATTCATCACTTGATTTTTTCAAAGTACATGAAAAAAAACATTAGACAAAGTCTAAAATTTCTAAAATGTGCTGAAAAATTGCAGCTGAAACATATGAAATCCTTTTATTGCCTTAACATGTTGAATCTTTAGAGATTTTAAAACAATAACAATGTGATAGATAATGAATGAAATAAAATAGTATCTTGGGTTGAAGCCCCCAAACAACTTGAACAGCATTATTGAAAAGGATTAAAGTGGTTGTTTAAAATGGAAGTGCCCATTGTTGAAAGTTCAGTTTAAGTGCAAGCACTGAATGAATTTCAAGTTTAAAACCTGAAAGAAGCTGTAGGACTATCAACTATCAAGTGAAAGTGTAGAAAGGAGTTAAAGTTTATGTGTAAAGCGTGCTCGCTGAATGACACTGAATGTCCAAGTTAAGTTCTTTAAGTTGGTTCTGTCAGCGGTTGCACTGAGTGAACTTAAAGTAGAGTATCAGTTGAAGTGAAGGTGCTGAAAGGAGTTGAAAGTTGTAGTACAAGTGGAAACATTAAGTATATAAAAGGAGGTGAAATGTCCCTGAATGTGAAGTGTAATTAAAACAAAGTTGTAAGTGTCAATGTGGAGTCCTGAAAAGAAAATGTGTGTGTTTATATGGAAGCACTGAAAGGAACTGAAGTGTCAGTTTAAGTGTATATGTTGAGTGAAGCTCAAGCAACAGGTTCAAATGTAAGCGTGAAGTTTAAGTAAAATTATTAGATGAAGTAAAAGAGCTGGATGCAGTTGAAGTGTTAATTTAGACATTAAGAGGAAGTAATGAAAAGAGTTGTTTTGTCAGTTGAAGTGTAAGTGATAAACGGAACAGTAAAGCTCGGGTGAAGTGAAGTCCTAAAAGGAGTTAAACTGAGAGTCCAGATTCTTAAGGGAAGTTAAATTGCAGTTAAAATTGAAGGGGTAAAAAGAATTGAAGTGTCAGTTTAAGTGTGCACTCTGAGTGAAGCTGAAGTGACAGGTTAAGTGTAAGCTGTGAGTGAAGATATTAGTTGTAGTGGAATTGCTGAAAGGAGTTGAAGTGTTAGTTGAAATGCGAGCAATGAAAGGAGTGGAAACATAAGTTGGAAGTGTATGTGACAAAAGAAGCTGGAAGAGTCAGACGAAATTAAGTAATGATGTGAATTTGTGTTAGTCCAAGTGTAAAAAATGAAAGACGGGTACTGAAAGTAGTTAAAGTGGCAGTGAGAATAGAAAGGAGTGAAAGTTTCAGTTTTAAATGAACATGCAGAGTGAGGTTAAAGTTAGTGAGGAGTTAGTCTCAGTTCATGTCTAAAAACAGAGATCAAAAGCTGAACAGATATCAATTACTGAAATCACTTGGATACAAAAAAAATGATTTAAAATAGTTTTAAAACCATCAAATGTCAAATCCTGCATAAATCAAAATCCGAAAGAACATGAATGTCTAAAAGCAGCACAACTGTAAATATTATTCAGCTAATTTATGCTGTTTGGAAAACATTAAATATTAGAGGTCAAAGGGGTGGGCTGGGTTCCTGAAGAGGTTCCCGTCCTTTCAGATTTAAAGTATTTAGCAAAATGTTTGGGAAGTGGGAACAGATTTCACCTGAATTCAGCTGAATGTTATTTTTATTCATTTAGAATAAACCTGATAGATGTTGAAGTGGGGTTACATAGTGAAAAATTATGTCATTTGATGGATGCTTTTAGCTAAAGCACTTTACAGTCCTATGACTATACAGTTTGATCACGGGTTAAGTTAAGGAGTGGGAAAAGTCTCCCTGTTTAATGGTGATAGTGGGCAGGGCCTTTGTGGGTTATGTAGTTCAGCTGGGGGGACTGCACTAAGACACTAACATTCACCACATGTTTCCCCCACAGCTCAACACCATGGCTGCTGGTCTCACCACGGTCTTCTTCATTCACATCTTCACTGCTTTAGCGCTGGAATCAACCTCTGTGAAAGGTATGTTCACGAATATTCATTAGGTAACCATTCTTTTATTTTTTTAGTTTAATGCATTGCATAACTAGATTAGAATTAGCATTTAAAGACTTGAGACAGGTTTGAAAGTAGGATTTCTTGGCATTGATGATGCTTTCTTTGAAATTTGGTGTCTTCTGGTGGCCTATTGATCTGTTTGGTTTGGAATCAGAAATTTCCAGATGGAATTTTTTTTGACATAAATCTCCTTTTAATGGGCCACAGGACAATGTCAGCCTGGAATAATAGAAAACATTAATAGTTGCATAGTTTCTGTGTTACTTTGGCGTTCAAACAAATATGACATGTGCTGCACAACAGCGAAGGGAACAGCCAGCGGATTTCTAGTGAAGTGGCTTCCCAGGAATTCTGGAGAGCAGAGAGCACTCCGCTGCTGAACAATGAGAAGCTGTTTATGTGTAGAGCCCCCCCCCCACCCCACTCCTTTTTAGCAGCAGTGGCTCTGTGCCATCAGAAAGGCTATGTATTTGCATACATGAGCCATGTTTTATCCACAGATATAAACAGGGTCTACATTGGCCATTTAAGTCACGCACGGACATACTGTGCTTCGTCCTGTTACATAACGCTGTCAGTAAATTAGTGGAGGCGTGGACGGAGGACGTGTTCCCCTCGACTCCTGTTCTCCTGCTACTTTTTATTCTGTTTTTGTTTCATGCCACTACGTGGGATTGAACAAAGCAGGTGTGTTTTTCTCCCTGTAGCAGAAACATGGGAGTGAGAGCCAACAGTGTGTTCATAGAAATCAGTAGTGCTTCAGCTAAGTGTAATTCCTCCAGCTGGTTTGCCAACCTTTAATGGCCTGCAGAAATCTGAATCGCTGCCTTGATATCAAATTTAGTTGAGTGATTTAGATTGCACTGGTGTCACTGTGGTGAATGGCAGCTTGCCCAGTTGGAGAAACAACTACATGTAACTGAAATACAAATATACACTGAACATGTTCAGGATCTTAGAGTTTTCTAAAAGATAGCCTACTTCATTATGCAGACACAGGCTAACAGTTTTTAGCAGACACGCTAATTAAGACAGCCGAACTATGCAAGCTGACTATCCTTTGCTAACTTGCAACATTAGCTACACCAGCCGGATGTATTTACTCATATTATCATGGCTGATCTTTATAGTGGCTGTAACTGATATTTTTATAATAAGAGTGCATACAAGAATGTATATATTGTTATATATTAACAGTGTGACAATGTGGAAGGGGTTGCTTGCGGTGCTGAAACTAGGGCTTGGTATTGCTACTGAATTCCCTAATCCCTAATATTTAAGTTACAATACCAACTTTGGTTAGATATGGATGAGATTCTCAGAGAACGAATGCTATAAATCTCTAATTTGGTACCTTATTAAAAATATTAATGTTTACATTATGAATGGACCCCAAAGCAGTTACTTCAATGCACTTTTTAATTTAACGTGACCAACAGTTTAGACACACATCTCAAGAAATAATAGATAGGCAAGTAATGCTAACGTACCTCGGTGCACTGGCTACAGCGTTTACTGCCCACACGGCTTCTTCTTCTATCAGCTTCTTCTTGCACATCTTCTTGCAAGTTGTCCATATTGTCTCTCTCTTCGCTGTCTTTGAATCGGAAACGCAACCACACATCTGCCTTTAGACTTGCAGGTGTCTTCATTGGAGCCACATCTTCCATGTTTTTATCCCTCACATGGCCAGTTCTTGTTGCACGAGAAGGTTGGTGACACGAGACTAACGTGATTACAGCTGCAAACAACTGTAAAAGGCGAGACTGTCCTCAAGCCCATAGGTCGTCTGTGCAGCAGGTTATTATGACATAGTTACATTTTGTTGTTAGGTGACATCTAGTGGCCGTAGTAATTATGACAGGAGCAAATGGAAAAGTTTGGCGTCGTATAAAGGGAGACAAAGTTCACGTCAGGAGGAGGTTGTGGTGGATGGATGAATATGACACAGGAGAGCGGTGTTCGATTCCCATGTGAAAGTAGCAGTTTATGTTGTTTCTGTTATCAATAACCGTTCAACAAAGTTAACCATGTTATTATTATTGTACCCATGACAACAAAGATTGTCAAATGTTGAGAAAGTGCTTATTTACTTTTCCTAAACCTAACCAAGCCATGTAGTACGCCGCTCTCGGTGCAGTCCGCGTGTTTATTATTGTAACTATGACAACCCTGGTCCGGCATTCCTGTCGCCATAGGGACGCTATTTCAGGAGACACTCCTATTGGTCGTATCAGAAGAAAAATGACCTACATGGTTAGAGGACTGGTTGTAAAGGGAAATATTAAAAGACAGATCTCTGGATTTTATGAACCAGATCAGATTATTCAAATGAAGGTTAGATTTTTTTCAACCCAGCCCGAGATGAAACTACAGAGAATTATTACCTGAATCTGCAGCTCCCCTCAGCTGTTTATTGTCTATCTGTGCAGACCACAACTTTACAGTTTCAGTTCACTCTCATAGCATCATTTCAGCAGCAGCAGCTGTTTTCAGAGAAATAGCACTAAAAACCCACTGTGCACCCCCTTCCTCACAGGAGCACCACTGTTTATGTCCCTCAGGAATCAGGACATTGGTTCTTAATGTGATTAGGTTTCTTCACTAGAGAAACCTTTTTTTCTCTCCACAGTTTGCCAATAAGTCTTGTTAAGTTAGTAAAGAACTGTAATCAGTGATGAGAGCATTGCGGCCCTTCGCCAAGGGAGGAAATAGCTTTTCTAAATGCACAGGATGAGGTGTTTCCCCCTGAGAGCGTACTGATTGATGTCTGAACATGTGACTCTGTAAATAACCATTTGCCCTCTGTGCTCACCGGAAAGACATTAATAACAGCTTCCCCCCAACACATTGTGCAGATGTTAATAAACGCTATAATAGGAAAAACACACATTCATTATCATAAAGAGGTTGCATAAACAGAGCAAGACAATAGGCTGAGGTTCTACCTGCTAGCTTCAGCGATCTGCTGATGGTGCGAGTTAGTCCTTTAAAAGAAATTAATGCTAGCTGCTATTTCCTGCTCTCCTCTGAAAAAATGGCTAAAAGGAAACACATCTGGGCTTATAAAAACACATTGACAAGGATGTTTTGTTTCACATGGAAATAGACAGTGGTGGTAGCACTCAGAGAAAAAATCACGCAGTAAACATGTTTACTCGGTAGAGCAGTGATAGTTTGCCCCAGAAAGAGGAGTCCTGTAATGAGAATACGCTGTAAATTGATATAACCGTGTTGGTAATATTGTCTGTGTGTTGTGTGGAGCTAATGACTGTGTTCAGAAAGCTGCTCACATGTTTACTTACACCAGACGTGAACTCTGCTTGGCAGCTGCTGAGCAAACACAGCAGCACTCGCCTTGACGTACGAGCACAGAAATGAAGCCTGTCAGTTTGCAGGGAGCTCTAGTTATTCTAACAAGACAGAGCTGTACACAACACACAGTATATATGTTAAAGGGTATTATGTGAGATGTGAGATCATGGAACAAAACATCTTTTCCTTTTTGGTTTCCTGTATTTTTCACTCACTCAGCAGTGAAGTTTTCAGATCAGCTGTTAAACATAAGTGGCTTAAAAAAAATACTCACATGTAAAAGTCCTGCAGTGAGAATTTTACTTGAAAGTTGACAAATTACTAAAAGGGGCAGTGGGGAACTAATTCTGACTACTTTATACACTGTTGGATATGCCAGTGTAATTATTGCAGTGCATATGATATATGTTAAATCTGTAGTCTTCAAATGAATAAGAATTATTCTACTTCAGTATGTGCTGCTGCTCCAAAGGTTAAGAATGAATTTCCATCCTCGAGCTATTTCATTGCTTTGATGCAACAAATCTGTAAATCCAATATCTCAGTAAATCAGTCCGGCTCTCTGATTGGCCCACACTGGTCCAACACCACCAGAGATATCTCAGTAGGAATGATAAAAAAAAAAGTGAAATATAGCTGAACGCTCTCACACAACCAAAATGGCAGACTGTCTTTTGAACACACTTTCCCCTGTCATACACACGGTTTACAAGCCACCCACACATCCACATTTATCACGATGAAGTAAGACACAAAAATGCTCGGCATGACCGAGTGTCAAATTGATTTTACTCTCAATCCTGACCTCAGCACAGTTCTGAGGAGGAGTTAAGGATGTGGTAAACAGGTTATTTTTAACCTGTAACTCCCCTGCCCTGAAGCACCCTAAGCAGGCCAGAGGTATTCATCATCTGCTCCCGGTGCTGCCTCTCAGCTGTGAAGGAGCCATCTTGTCCTGACACTTCTCAGTACTCAGCCAGCCAGGGCTTGTGTTGTTGTTGCTCCCTGAAGTGTTGATGAGCTCAGCTGAGTGCTTCCGCTGCTGCTGCTGCTGCTGCTGCTGATGCTGATCACGAACCCTCCTGCCCTGCAAATATAATGTTTACTTAACAAAAAAAAAAGAAAAAAAAGAAAAAAGAAAGCTCCCTCAGCTCTTTGTATAAAGGGCCAGCTCATTAAACATTAAACATATTTCCTCACTTACCTCAGGACTGAAAAATTCTAATATTATTATTCAATGTTTATTTATTTATTTAAGTTTTTCCCTGGTTTTGAGTTGAGCGTTTGATACTGGAACTTTAAGGCCGATACCAATATCGATATTTGAGACGTAAAAGATCCGCTAACAATGTGGATTTTAAAGTAAACACACACATGACACGTCTAAATTTAGTTGTTAATGAATTTTGACTAAAATCTTTATTTGTGTTTGGTAGTATAACAACGCCAGTAAATCCTCTGATAATAGCAGCCCAGCAGATGCATCAGTCGTGCTCTGTGTTTTAAAATGTCTTTCCCAGTTACTATTAATAATCCACAGTTTTTTATTGAACATACTCACTAAACCCACAGAAATAGTGCCAGTGAAAACTGTTGATAGTGTTTTTTGTGAATTACCCAGATTAACTAGAACAGTGTTTTGTAAGAGAGATGTTGAGTATTTCTCAGTGCTGTGACCATCACAAAAGAAACTGCAAAGATCTCTGTTTTATTAGAGGGATATCTTACAACCTGGGCAATATAAAACCATTATTTGGACACAGAAGAAGAAAAGAAAGAACATATTTCTATTATTTTTGTTTATTTGGGTGAACCAGCCCTTTTAAGGTGTAATACGCAGCAATATAATGGAAAGCATGAAGCTAATCGGGATGCTTATCTACCTTTCCATTATATCTATTTATTATTAGCACTATTTTTGTGTTTCGTTTGTACTACGTTGCTTCAGGGAGTTGCTTTGCTGTCTTGTTGTTTTTAAATATGACAATAAAGATACTTGACTACTTGACGTGACTTGACATGCTGATACTTGTGTGTACTGCAACACTTGTTATAGGAAAAGAAGAACTGTGCTCCACTTCTATACTAGATACAAGCGTATCCAGTAAATATTATATGCTAATTGTTATCGTATACTATTTTTACAGTTAGTATAAATGAAATGAATGTACTTGTTAAAGTTAGTACCAACAGGAAATGACACAGAACATGTCAATCCGTGATTTTAGAGGATACGATGCCACTGGAAATCAAACTTCACAAAGACGAAACAAAATCTTTTTCCATAGATTTGCTTTTCTAGATCTTTCCGGAGCTGTCTCAACACCATCCATAATTTGTTTGCATGTGTTGCAACCGTCACAAGCTTCTGATCGTCTTCGTTTGCATTGCAGTGTGCAAAAGTCAAACAGTTTTTAATTTTACATACTGACTGCTTATCGTGCGTTCCTTTTTGCAGGAGCTGAAGGAGCTAAAGTCAGCAGCAAGGGAGCTAAATAGAGAAGCTGCCTGCACACATTGTTTGAGTTTGGCAGCTAGTAAAACAGGATCCATGCGGTCCTTTCCGTGCGGAGTTATTGCACAGTTATTCCACGACAGCCGTGGCCGTGAACTCTCTGACTGCAGCTTTTCACTTGAAGTAAAATGACTTCCATGAAAATGCTGATGTTTGCCCTGTGGCTGAGCCGCTCACTGGAGTTAGTTTGCAGTTATTATCCTGTCCCTCAAGCGCGGCTCAGCCATCCTCAATAGAAACCTTGACTCATAACAGCTGCAACGCAGAGAAGAGAAAAAAAAGCAGATCTTGACACTATAAAAAAGGTTAAGATATGTAATTATTTCTCCCTCTCTGTCTCCCTGCAGTCCTCCCCCAGAGACGCCCACACCTCACTGGCTGTGTCTCCAGCAACATGGAGACTTTCCGCTGCAGATGGCATGTCGGCACTTTCCAGAACCTCTCCGAGCCCGGAGAGCTGCGCTTATTCTACATGAACAAAAAGTGAGGGGTGAAAAGATTGTTATCAATATCACAAATATGGGGTTGCTCTGTGCTTTGAAGGAAATCAAGGTGTGCAGGCTTTTTAAAATATGGGCGTGAAAGAAACTGATAATAATTCCAATCACAGAAAAATATAATAACACAAAAAACATATGCAATGTATAATGAATAAGTGAAAATATTCAGGTGCAAAATGAAACAAAAAAACAAACAAACTCAACGTAGAACTATAACAGAAATCTCATTTAACAAATGGTGGATGTAAGTTTGTGATACACAGGAGTATAGTTTTGTTTTTGTGGCCTACCTGTAATATATATTATTTAGTTTGATCTTAGAGCCTTACACAGTGTGATACAATTTCACATTATAACATTTTACCTTTTGCTTTTTTTTCGTTTCCAGCTGTCTTCACATAGTGACAGATTGAGACAAAACAAATGAACAAAACCAATTACACTGAGTGACGCAGATAATAAAGAAAGAAAGAAAGAAAAAAAGAGAGAAAGAAAGAGAGAAAGAATCTTAGGAACAAACAAAATAGAAAATCATCCTCACTTATAAGTCGCTTTGGATAAAAGCATCTGTCGAATGAGTGAATGTAAATGTAAATCTAATGTAGTCACAGTATACAGTGTGTGGAATAAGGAAAGACAGAAAAGAAGCACCAATTGTTAGAAAATGCATGAAGGTTTAAGAAAATGTAAGTTATAGTCTTTAGTCAAATCAACTGTTGCTTTAAGTCTTGTGGTAGTGGGGTCACTGCTGTGTACATAGTTGTGTCTAAGCCTTACCTGGCTCACTTATGGTGCACCTGTTCACACTGTGCTGACAAGGCAAACGTCCAGTTCAAGGTCACACTCACCTGCAACTCTGTTACTTTTAAAATGTATAATTTGGGTCACAGGTTTTTGGTCTTACTGGAGAGTCAACATTAAATTGTTTTGCAAATGCGCACCAAAGTCTGATGAGACGTCTCAAAGTTTCTGGCTTAAAGCATAAGGCTGGAAATATTCTATATTTTTATTTAGTGTTCATAGGGTCCCATGAAAAGAACAAAACCAATGATGTGTTAGTGGGATTGGGTCAAAATAAACTACAATGTGTGTTTCCCGTGGTTATGTAAAGGAACATGTATCTCAGTGCAACAGTGTGGCTCACTGATGAGTTTTTAATTTATGATCCAGAAGAATAAGTTATGTTAATTGATTCATCGTTTGTTTTGGTATTTTTCATGGAATTTGCTAACAAAAACAAAAAATAGAATATCACCAGCCTCATCAAATCAATAGTAGTTATCAGTATGTACACCCAGTTATAATCTACAGCTGTAAAACATTGCTCACCACTGGGAGTTTTCTCATCTAAAATATTAGGAAACTGCTTTGTTGAGTAGAATTTCACAGCGAAGATCTGTTTCCTGTCGCCTCCTTCCTGACCAGTTGTTGTCTTTCCCCCCAACTCGCAGACCCTCCCTTGCCTCTCCTAAAGAGTGGAGCGAGTGTCCTCTCTACAGCACTGACCGGCCAAACGAGTGCTTCTTCAATGAGAACCACACATCCATCTGGACGTATTACAGTGTCCAGCTCCGCTCGAGGGATCAAGCCGTCCTCTACGACGAGAGCCTTTTCTATATTCAAGACATTGGTGAGTGTACGGCCTCACTGCTCAGCCGTCACGGTCCAGATTAGAGAAAAATCGTTAAAAACCTGATTAACAAGACAAGGTCGAAACCTGATGTATGGCTGGACTGTGTATGGTCAATGTGTGAAATTGAGGACGTAATTTAAAACTGTTGTGGAGCCGCTGTAAACAACTGACATTGTGTCATATTTGCATTCAGGTTAGTGTCAGCCGGTTTCAGCTCGTTATCTGTTAGCTTCTCTCCTCCCCTCTGTGCTCACATATACAGTATTTTCATACAGCCGAATTCCCAATAAAGCTGTTCTCATTTACATGTTTTTCTGTTTCTGTTGTCATGACAACGGAACAAGTTCTAAATAGTGACTGAAATGTGGCCCATTAAGACTTCCAAGTCATTTCCAAGCTGCTGCTAAAATACTGATTTTATAACCATGAAAAAATCACCAAATACTTAAATTAAAGACAAAGACTGTGCTGGGATTTCAGCTATATTTACTTGTAAAATGCTCACACGGAGAGAAAGTTAAGAGCGTCACAATATCTGCTGCTGACGCGAGAGAGGGTATTACTGGCAACTCTCTTCTTAGTAGCCATGGTTTGTCTAAAGTCATTAGATTTTTTTGCTAGGTGCTATTTTTTCAAAGTCTATCATTCTACTGACACATGCATTAAGTTGTTAACACTGCGGGCTGTAAACGGCTCCCTAATAAAAACTGTTTGCACCAATTCATTATGAAAGAGCAAAGGCCAATGGGGAAACTTCAACTCAGTCATGTGGCATTTGGCCGAACAATGTTGCAACTATGATCATGCAACTCTATCACTCAGTCAGTTGGTCAGTTTGCAGTCCAGCCAAAAATCTGTGTACGGCCATGCATGTTTTCCCGTATTTCACGCACTCAAATTGTAATGTTTGAAACTCTGAGGATGTGTTCAATTGCAAAATTGCAAACTTCTCTAAAATTTTCTGTTCCGCAGTGCAACCAGATCCACCAGTCGGCCTGAACTGGACGCTGCTGAATGTCAGTATGACCGGGATTTACTATGACATCATGCTGAGCTGGAAGCCTCCACAGTCTGCAGACGTAGCGATGGGATGGATGACGCTGCAGTACGAGGTCCACTACCGCAACGTCAACTCCAACCAGTGGGAAGCAGTGAGTGTCTTTTAAGTTTTTATTGTATTGTGTTCAAGCTTCAGTTAATTTGAATTTCATTGTTACATCAAACCATACTTTTATATGCATCAGTTAACCTGAGCACAGCTGATTTTAAGACTCTGTGACTCTAATATTCCTTTACTGATTTGTATAGTAAACATTATATCATTGTCAAAGGAAAAATGAATGCTTCTTAGTGGACAGGACTGTGATGGTGTAATACTGCTTCTAGTATTGGAACCTTATTTTCTCCACCACAGGTCGACCTTGTGAAAAGCACACATCGCTCCCTTTATGGGCTTCAAACTAACATCATTCACGAGGTTCGGGTCCGGTGCAAGATGCTTGGTTTGAAAGAGTTTGGAGAATTCAGCGACTCGATATTCATCCACTTCCCGTCCAAAGGTAAACACTGATTGCTATGTTCACAGGCCAGGTGGAAAAACTGTTACAAGTGCTGTTATAAAGATTTTTCAGTTTTACATGAAAACTCTAGAGGCTGCAGCTCAATGACTTTGTCGCTATAAATAAACCTTTTAATATTCCTGCCGACAGATCATCAGTCATTTTCACTGAGCATTGTTAGCTCAATACAGCATTTAAAGAGAAATAACTCTGTAATTATCTGTTTGATCAACTTAACTGGGTGACCAGAATGTACCCAAAGCCATGTTTGAATCCAGCCCCAGAGTATGCCCAGACACGCCTTGACAAGCCACAGAAATGACCCATTGTACTTATGTCTTAAAGTTTTATTTATCTCGTGCAAAAACAGCATTTTATTGTATTTCTGTAACAAAAATGTAATCCTTATTGCAAACATAAAATTACTGAAAAACTGACTTTGTGTACGTAACATTAAAGGATAGGTTCACATTTTTTCTAGTTTTTTCAAGTCTTTCTCCATAATGGTCCTGTCATGTCTGAATAAAACTACAATGAACATTCACATAATCAACACCCACTGTACTGTGCATCTGAAAGACAAAAAGCCTTTACTTAAAAAGATAAAGGAAGGCAGTGTTAAGTATTTAATATCTGAAAAGGACTTCTGTGAGTTTTACACTTGTCAACTTTAAACTTGAACATAGCCTTTTTATTTTGTATGATTTTATGACTATATTAAACATTTGTGGATTTGTGTGTCTTTCTTCCCCCAGTGTCAAGATTCCCTGTGGTGGCTTTGCTCATCTTTGGTGCCTTGTGTTTAGTGGCCATCCTGATGTTAGTTGTCATATCGCAGCAGGAAAAGTAAGTAGTTTTACAACCCCCCCCCCCCCCCCCCCCCACGAATTCTGTGCAGAAAAAAGCTTAGAGAAATGAGGGGGTGCAGGATGCTGCTCAGTGACCTTGAAAAACCATCTGTGTCTGTGTTATCAGGGGTGTTGTTCAAATGTGTTAAACAGCAAGGCTGTGTATCTGCAGTGCTTCTTATTTCATCCATGTGTTATGTCAAATTAACATTTTCCCTTTTTTTCTTTCCTAAGGTTGATGGTTATTCTATTGCCTCCAGTTCCTGGGCCTAAAATAAGAGGAATTGACCCTGAGCTACTTAAGGTATTCAGCCTGTTCACCCACATGTTATGATGCTTAATCCCTAATTCATAAGCACACTGGGTGTTAAGTGGAGGTCACATTACAAAGTGACATTTTCCCATTTCACAACAAATTCTTGCCGTTTTAAATCCTGGTGTATTCAGGCCTTTAAAGTAATACTTCACCTAAGATGTATAAGAGAGACTATTTTCAGACCCACAGAAAGCTTTTGACTTAACATTTTAAAGGTTTAACACTGGTCATAATTTGGTCACAAAGCCCAACTTTGTAACTTAAAGGATCAGTTCACTCATATCACAAGCACATTCTCACTCCACAGTGAGGTCTATGTATGGGGGCGTCTTAATCGTTTATTTTCCAGACTAAATGGTAATCATGTGATGCTTTTAGCGCCACATACTACAGCGATCAGCCACAACATTAAAACTGGTAACCGGTTTCAATGTGAGGCTTGATCCTATTAAAACCAGTAATTGGATTTACGGTTGTGGTTGATGGGTGGATTTCTTTATCTCACAGAAAGGGAAGCTGAGGGAGTTGACATCCATCCTGGGTAGTCCCCCTGATCTGAGGCCAGAGCTGTACAACAGCGACCCCTGGGTTGAATTCATCGAGCTGGACATTGAGGAACAGAATGACAGACTGACAGAACTGGACACGGACTGTCTCATGGAGCGCTCCCTATCCTCCAACTGCTCTCCCCTGTCCATCGGCTTCAGAGATGACGACTCGGGCCGTGCCAGCTGCTGCGACCCAGATCTCCCCATCGACCCGGAAGTATCACCTTTCCATCCTCTCATCCCAAACCAAACCCTCAGTAAAGAACCGTCATGCCCGGCAGCATCTGAGCCGAGCTCCCTGGTCCAGAGTCCAACCGCTGAGGAGCCTCCTTTTGCAGCTGTGGGCAGGGAGGCTTTTTACACTCAGGTGAGTGAGGTGAAGTCATCTGGCAAGGTGCTGCTGTCACCTGAGGAGCAGACTGAGGCGGAGAAAACCACTAGCAAAGGCTCAATAAAAGACATCGTGGCGGAAAAGGAGAAAGAAAAGAAAGAATTTCAGCTACTTGTGATGAATGCAGATCTCGGAGGTTACACCTCAGAGCTCAACGCAGGGAAAATAAGCCCAAGAGTCTCCACGGGGGATGTGAGTGAGCCCTGCCAGACAGCAGGCGGCTTTACGTCTTTGCCATCCCCATCACCTTACTACAAATCAGATACCACCACCACATCCCCACTACAACCTGCTCCTGTCTACACCATGGTAGAGGGTGTTGACACACAGAACAGCCTCTTACTCACACCAAACTCGACACCTGTTCCACAACTGATAATTCCAAAGGCCATGCCCACACCAGACGGCTACCTTACCCCTGAACTTTTGGGAAGCGTCACACCGTAGATCAGCAGTGGGCTGTGCAAAATGAAGACTATTCAATCAAAGGCAGAGATATGCTTCGGCACAGTCTTGGAGATTGATTTTCCCAAGGTCGTGTTTCAATGTGAGCTTGCCTAAAATAGTTGAGGGGGGCCATCTGTGCCTGTCCTGACACCACCTCTACCTCCTCTGACCTCCCACTGCACGGTTTGAAAGAGCTGCAAAGACCATTCAGTCAGAAGATGGGTATGAACGCTGAAGAGGGCACAAGAATGTGTTTGTAGAAAGGGAACCAAAAGGGAAATAACACAAGCGGAGGCTGGGAATTGCCTCAATAATTCAATATTCTGACAACTAAAACAGGCTTACAACACAACTTATTAAATAACTACATTTGTTAAGGCTAGATTGATCAATTTAGGCCACTAGAGAGCAGAATAATCCCCCAACAGCCTGAGAGACTCAGCGCTAGCATATAAAATCCTTATATAGTCGTTTTCGCTAACACACTTTACACATCCAGCAGGGAAAGAGCAATTCTTTCATTTATTTAAACTTGCGTTTCTGTCCAACTAATGAATGTAAGTCCAGTATTCACTCTCATCACCAGTTACTCTGTAACTTTTGTCTGCTATTTGCCACTATGAACTAAAAGACACTAAAAAGCTCTAGGGCTGCAGAGTTGCTGGTAATTCCCTGTTGTGTTGTCACTTCAAGAGACACCTTTCACATTACAGGTAGTCATTTAATTACGTTTTTTGATGTAAAAATATTGACTAATGCTTCTTTAATGAGAGTATGTTTACTTGTTCTGTCTTGTTCTTGACATTTTGTACATATCAAAATCTTTCTTTTTGATAAAATCAGGTAATGTGTATTGATATACCCTGTGAAAAATGTAAACGTAAATTAACCATGTGCCCTCTTTTTATGAATCAAAATGACTGCTTTTCATATCTTTTCAGTCTTTCAGATGAGTGTTACCTCAATGGAAATGTTACTTAACCAATAAGATAAATTTTTAACACTCAGTCTTATTGGGGTTCATATGTCATGTTGTTGCCAACAGATGAACCCTTGAAAAAGCTAAATAAATGGGTTGTCTGTAAAACGATCAACTGTAGCATAAATCATTAAATGGTTATCTTACTTTAATACCTTTACATGTAGTGTTCTGTAGGCTTAAGCTGTGAAATGAATTCAGAGCTGGAAGCAAAAAGTATTTGATTGTCTTCTACAAGACATATCAGTAGGTTCAGTCAGTATTTTGAGTGCATGGGCTGTTTTGTTTTTCATTTGGTGTCTGGTTAACAGTTCATCATATGTATTAAAAGGTTAGGATACATGGTCATCAGTGTTGGACTTGACAGTTATTGCTTTTTAACAGTTCAAAAGTGTTTGTTACAAATAAACGTTCATATAAAACATATATGAAATAAACTTTCATACTTTTGCTTTTGTCTTTCTTGTCATTAATATCAGTTAGTTTTAGGTTTTCACAACACTGCAAAGACTACACAGATGACTTCATTTATTTTTTGTTTAGTATGCACTAAAGGAATACTTGTGTAGAGGTGGAAGAAGTATACATCTTTTTTAAGCGGAAAAATACTTCATTTAGAATATACACGTCCTAATGTAACTTAAGTTAAAAGTAATTCTGAAACAACTCTTGGGATCCTACATTAATGACGTACATGTATGGCTACATGCACAGATACACAGACATTTAAAAAAATTTCCTCTGTGAAATGCATTACATTTTGTAATTAGTATTTTCACTTCATTGCTCTGAATTGTTGAGTAAAAGTATTAGGTACAACAAAAGTAAATACTACTACCTAAAAATTGTACTTGCTTAATATATTTAATAGATTGGCTCAGTATTTAAGTGTAACCTGACATTTCCAACCTCTGCTCTTATTGAAATCAATTAATAATTGGTCTGTTCACGAGCCTTGGGCATGGGCAATGGCGTTCACGAGCTCGTAAAGATAACTTTAACAGCGTAACTTCTTAGCTAGCAGCTAAAGAGGATTTTTATTTCGCTAGCTTAACGTTAATGTCGCTTTTTAATCAAACAGTCAGTAATACGACAATTAATTTACTCTTTGCGACAGTAATTTGCTCTTTGTAGGACTGGCACCATGACAAAGTTAAACTGTGTTAATCTTGACAAGTTTATGGAGGAGTTTGCTGAACTGGAACAGGTAAGGTAGCTAGCTTATTAATGGATACATATGATCTGTGCTATTTGATGTAATTGCCTGTTTTTCAGTAGGTGTCACTTCAGTAGTTTAATGAGTGGAAAGTATGAGGAGGAGAAACATAATTTAACGCTAGGTCTTCACTCAAAGATAATTACAGGTTGCCGTAAGGAGTGTTTGGTAACCTCAATCATAATCTGACAACTTCAAAGAAGATAACATAGCCTACTTTTACTTTTAGCCTACTACTTTTACTTTTTAACTTGCCTCGTAAAAACCTCGTTTTGCTGTTTTTCTGTATTTCACGTGGATGGATTAAGTTGGCAAAGGAGAAGTGCTCATTAACACAGATTTAAACACATTTATGAACAAAATTTAAGAGAAAACATTCCCTGTGTGTGTTAGATAGATAGATAGATAGATAGATAGATAGATAGAAATTGTATTATCGCAACAGCCAAGACACATACAACAAAACAAAGATATACAACAAAAAGCATTAAAACAATAATTGGAATACAATGGAAACCTAAGACACTGAACTAAAACTGTGGTATGTCAAGTTTAGATTTTTTATATTGAAGTTTAGAGTATTTGTATTCACCTTTTATTTTTATCCAACAGAAAATTACAGCGGTTAATGGCAAAAACAACTTGTTGGAGATCATGCTGGAGGATGCCAATAGACTCATTAAATTCTATCTGACCAAGGAGAAAAGTCTGATTGAGGGTGAGTTTCTTGACTTTACATGTAAAAGCTGGGGGTTTAACATTTGTTTTACTTTTGTTTGCTTTCCAAGATGTAAGAGCCCCGTGAAGCCTGACTTGATGTTTGTCTCCCTCTGCTGGTGATATTGCCAACGACAGTCCTGACTGTCCTCTTTCAGTTCAGTCAAAGCAGAGCAAGGAATTGCAGCACAAATGTTTAAGAACTTTTGTAAAAAAAAAACAAGAGCAACACTATGGAATATAATTTCTAATACATTGTCATGAAAGTCAACATTCAAAGACAGATGAACTTCATAGTTCAGACAGATTTTACTGTCACTGGAAGGGTGAGTTGTAGTGTCATGTAGTTCTTAAAGAAGTTTTAAACCATAGAAAATTAAGCAATACATTAAAAAATACATTTAAATGGTTGTATAAACTTCCTCTCTCTCATTGAGTTGTGTTATACAGGATCTTATACATGTGTATGGTGTTTAAAAACTAGCAAACCATCCATGAGAACTTGCTAATTCTATTGATCAACCTGTTGCAGAGAGAGACAGCCTTCTCATCACAGTCAGCAGACTGCAGCAGACTCTACAGGAGCAGTGCAACCTCAGAGGTAACTGTAACAACCAACTGAATATGCATATAAAAAAAAACAATAATAGAATCCCAGGTAATTTAAAATACTCTCAATAGTCTTTGTCAGGGAGAAACAATATGTTTGAAGTGTTTCTTAAGTGCTCACCACAGTGAAGCTAATGTTGCAAAAGAATAAGGTCTACAATAAATAAAGAGTCTTCTGTTACTAGATATACGTAATTATGTTGCTGTTGCAGTGGAGAACGAGAGACTGAAGAACAATATGGCGCACATGAAACGACAGAACGAGAGATCAGCAGAGGTGAGGACTGAAGCAGGGGACAAAATGTATTATTATAACAGACCTTTTTCACAGCAGACATTTTACTAATAGAGTTAACAATGGCTCCAGTCATGTCAAGTGTCCCAGTAAATCATGGCAGTGAGCCAACATGCACAGTATACATCAATGTCATGAACCTGAAGCAGCTAAACAGGATTTAACCATCATTCATTTTATTATTTACACCTCTTCAGTTCCTGCTGCGACATGTCAAAATGTCTTCCATGTGATTCCGTGAATCAAGACTTTTAATTTAAAATTGTGCGTTTTCTATTTCCATAGCTGTTCTGGGAACAAGGAAGTGTTGTTTATATGGCATGATATAAATGTTTATTATGTTCTGAGATATTTATCTATTGTAGACTGTATACAAGAGTGTAATTGGGGATAATCTCTGTTTGATTTATTCACTTAAATATTGATACGTTCATCCTTATTACCATGCACTCAGTATTATTTGACATGGTTTCACCTTCGAGGCCACACACAGGCTGCCCTAATCTCCTGAGTGGTGGAGGCTTTTGGGGCGGACAGAAAGCTCTGCAGTAACTACTCATGGCATAAACCTACCGCCTACCACGTCCTTTGCTCTGGTTTTGGAAAAAGGAAAAAAAAAACATTTATAAAACATTTATTTTTATTTGCATGTGACATTCTTTATTTTTTTTTTAAAAATCATGAAAGTTTAGTCCAGCTGATCATCACTCAAGGTTAAGGCACTTTTGCTTGTTTTTTTATTTATTTATTTATTTATTTTTATTTGGTTTCATTTGGTTTTGCCACATCTCTAAATCTCAGTTTCTGAAGACAGATTACATTGTAATGTGTAATTTGCATGGTCAATATAAATGTAAGTTAATAAACAGCACTGACATATATATTTGTTTTGGACGTTGACGACAAAACTGTAGATGTAAGCACTTTTTTTCTGGTTTCAACTGAACACCTACTAAGTGACAGATTAATTTGAAATCAGAATGATCAGTTGACCGTCTTTGTTTGCCTTCTTACCAATATTTTACTTTAAAGTAGGTAGCAATGTGAAATGTTTGCCCAGAGCCAGCATCGGTCAGTGTCGTGGTGTGTGGCTTGTGTGTTGTCGACAGGACGGAGAGGCTGAGGTTCAGCGGCTGGTCGGTGAAATGAAAACAGAAGAAGACAGACACAAGAGGGAGCTAGAGGCTGTGAGGCAGCAGTGCAGGAGAGAGGTGGAGCTGGCTCACAGGAAGGGTTTCAATCAGTGTAAGGCCTCACAACTCACTCAGTACACTGCCTCAGTGGTCCTGGTCCAACTTCAGACGTATATGAAGTCAAAATCTTGCAGCTACACATGCACTTGTTAACAAATTGCGTGATTGTAGTTTAAAAACAAAACTTGCCGACTCCCTCCATGTTCCATTTATTTATTTATTTTTCTATGATGCAAAACTCAGCTGTTAATTGGACGTCTGCTTTTCAGTGAAACATCAGAGCAGAGCAGAGCTGCAGAACAGAAAATAATTAAGCCAAAAATAGAGACAAACAAAACATGTATGTTAAAGATGAACCTGTATTTGGCTGGTGCCTCTTGTTTTATTTCCTGACAGTGGAAGCCAAAGATGCAGAAGCAAAGAAGCTACTGGAGGAAAAGGATATGGATCTGGAGGAGATGAAGAAGAGGCTGAAGGATCAAGAGAGGGAGAGGCAGAGCGAGCTCCTCAAGTTACAAATGGAGGTAAATGAAAAGCCACACTCCACTTCACTTTACTGTAATGCAGTCAACTCAGGACCCTTCTCCAGGTGTTACTGATGATTATAGTCAACATGATTCTGAAATACATGTTTATGTGTAAAAACACTAAAATGCTTGTTTTGTTTCCTTGTGTTAAAAACCTCACAATGTTTAACTGAAGAATTCTTTATTTAATCCTTTATTAAAGCACAGGAGTTTTTAAAGATTAACAAGTAAAGTCTGAGTCTGTAATTGTTTTTTTCATCTTCATAATATATGAAATACAATAACTTGTCAGATAATCTGCAGAATCGAAGAGGCCAAGAGTTTGTCTGCAGGAGGTTCACATCTAGTTTCACATCTAGTATGGACAACATGACTGATCCACAGCAGCCTTAAGTATTATTAGAAATGCTCTGTGAAATTAGGAGAAGTCCTGAGGAATGATTTCATGATGAACCCAACTCTGCTTTGGTCTTGAGTGGCCGGTTTCAGCTTTACTAAGTTTATTGGAACCTTTGCTCTGTATGTTTTGGCAGTTTGGTGCGAAGTTAGCCAGAGTTCAGAGTACAGCTCAGTGGAGTCAACAGCAGCAGCAGCAGCAGCAGCAGCAACAACATGGCTCCAACCTTCTCCCTCAGAGTGTCTTCAAGAGGGTGAGCAGCCCACACAGAACCTTCAATGTCCTCCCTCTGTTTTTCATTACAGGGCTTTATTAACACACACAAAACAGATTCAAGTGGTAACTAATCTGTAACTCTGGTCAGAAACATATTTCATAAGTTCCAGTTTCTGCAGGAATGATGACAAAATGTTGAGTGTAACTGCAACAGGTTTTGTGTTTAAGATGCAAACTTCCGCTGAGAGGAGACCAAACTTCCATTAGGAATGACTGCATGTTTCATCCTGTTAGTCCCTTCATAATTTAGTAATATCAGACTACTTCCCAGCATGCTCTCTCCCTCAGCTTTTTCTTTTGTCTGGAAGAGAAAAGTGTAAACAAAATAGCCCGAACAGGCCTTCAGACATATACTGATATATCTATTATAAACATTGTGAATTAAATAGCAATTTCAAAACATCATCTTTGGGTTCTTGGAAACTGTGATGTGTATTTTTCATAATTTGCTATTTTAGACACAAAGCTATTTCAGAAGTCATAAACAATAATGAAAACAATTTGTTTCAGCTGTAGAAGAAATGTGATTAGCAATTACTAAATAGAAAGCACATCACACTCAAATAGTCTGTGCATACAGAAAATCATTCACCGGCTGCCGTCATTCACAAGAATCACTGAATAACATGTTTAAAATCAGTGGGTGGCATTTTTATAGGTCGTCATTGTCAGTCCAACTCCGTTGTTCTGAGAAATGTGTTGCATGTCTTGTTTATATTGCCTCTTTCTAATGTGTGTGTGTGTGTGTGTGTGTGTGTGTGTGTGTGTGTGTGTGTATTAACTGTGCGTGTGTTTCCTCAGAAGCTGCAGTTCTTCCAGGAGGAGAAGAACAAGGAGATTGTGGCTCTGCGTCAGAGAATCAAAGAGCTGGAAGAGAACCAGCGAGCCTGCGGCCTCAATGACAACCGCCTGAAGAGGAGGAAGATCTAGGTTGTTTCGAGGCTAATGATGCTAACGAGCTGTTGACCTGTCAGCTCTGCAGGTGCATGAGGCTCCTGACTCTCAGGGGGCAGAATAGATTTGTATTTCAGTCTCATTTCAAAGCAAAATTCCTGAGTTGTCGACTACTACTACTACTACTCTACCACCTGTTATGCTCTGTCACACCTGACTAGATTTGCAGTTTCACTGCCCTGCTCGCAGGTGACCAATGTGCAGAGAGTACATTTAAACACAGGACATATTCCTGTCTAAGGCTTTAATCCAATCAGACGTCTGCAGGGTGCGGGAGGAGGGAGGTGGAGGTGTCAACATTGAAGAAGCAATAGATAGCTGGAAGGCCAGTCCCATTCAAGGAGTTAACCTCGTTTATCTCCTTTCATTCAAAGAAAAAAGAAATAATTTAACTCTGAGTCATTTTCCTGTTTTTTTCAGGTTCCTTTAAGTCAAACTCTTTCTATTAATCTTGACATCTTGAAGTCTGTTTCCTGTAACTTCTGTTCAACGACTTCCTGTTGTTTATATTTAAGAAAGCAGGGGTCTGCAGTGATCTGCTTTCCTTAGTAGCATGAATCTTGTAATAACAACATAATAACAAGAACATAAAAGTGAGTAATAATAAGAATTTGTTTGTATCTGCATTTAACGTAGTCTTTCTGGACAGAAGTACTTCCACTTTATCGAATGGAGTATTTAGGATGTTAGCATATGTTTATGTTTACATACAATCTTACACACAAGAACCCAACTGATTCTTGATTTTGGATGCATGTATTGATATCGGAGTAAAAACATTATAATATTCATATTTGACATTTTAGTAATTGCACTTACTCGCTCTGTTTCCAGAGTTGGATGAAAAGGGTTAATGGCACTCTCGTGTCTGTTGTACGCTGAAAATTAAGCTATAGTCAGCAGTTGGTTAGTTTAGCTTAGCATAAAGACTGGAAACAGGTGGGAAAGGCTAGCTTGGCTCTATATACGTTTTAATTATTCCCTACATTTGGATAATTAAAGACTTTAGAGCTGAAACAATTGGTTGATTAGTCAGAAACAGACATTTCAGTTCTGTCTGTGATACGATAAAATGATCTGTAAGTAGCAGTCATGCCAATGTATCAATCAGGCTGCAACACAAGCTGCTTCTGCATTACGTAAAAGAAAGTAAGTTCAGCTGTGCTCTGTAATGTCTTGATGTCTTTCGATCGCAGCGTCTCCTTGTTGTCCCTCCACTGCTGCTCACAGGGACGACACACCTGAATGAAGATGCTCCGCCTGGTGCAACATTGACCTCATGCTTTGTAATCTCTTTATCTGTTCTGTTCAGCCAGAGTCTAAGGGGGACAGGGAGCTAATCTCTGTAGGAACATTGGGTAATACTCTTGCATAACATTTCATCTTCACAGAGGCCAGTCAGTTCAACCTTGGCTGCACAGCACAACCGTTTCTATCACACAGGTGTCTTCTCCTCAACCTGCAACCCAGTGCATCCTGGTCACATACAGGCGCACTGTAGATACCAATACATGCACACGTCCGTCATGTGTTGCATGTTTTTGGCCTTATTTTTGCCACCACGAACTGTTGTTAACCATTTGAAGGGATTGGGGTAGACCTAAGTTAAAACAGGATTAGAGTTCATGACACCACGTTAATCCTTCGTCCTTCATTGAGGAGGAGAGGCTGTAAACAGGGAGAGGTGAAGGCTGAGGGGTGTGGCCAGGGAAGACCGGACTGACTGTCCATTTCAGTGATGGCTCAAACGCACATGCCCCTTCCCCTCCTGTGTCTCTGGCCACCAGTGTACAGCAGTCTGTTAGAGAGAGAAGAGAGGGGTGGCAGCGTTCTGCTCAGTGGACTGAGACTTTTTGAGATGTTGTGACACACACTGAGTCAGACTTCAGCATGTGTGAAGAAAATTAATTTTTCTTGGTGATATTGGGCCAAAAGAAGTACTTTCTTTATTTTTTTTGCTTGCAATGGACTCCATGGCTGTGTTTTGATGCAGAGCACCACTTTGGAAACTTGGTAAGGAGATGACAATCTTGTTTTCTACATCCTATTTATATTTTGTCAGATTTCTCCTGTGTTATTGCAGTCATTTCAGGGTTGTATGTTTCTGATCTCCAGTAAATTTATTGTAAAATGTGTACAAATGTATTTCCTGAGTTTACTGTAAAGTATTTCCTGTTTATCTGGTTCAGCTCTGTGTACAAACTAGCAGCTGGTAATGACACAATCCCACTGTCATGTTTTTGAAGATGACCCTATCTCTGACCCACTACAGAAATGCCTGGAGGCCAGTACCAGGTCACAAGCACCAGGCTCCACCACAGCCTTTACAGCTTGACGGACAGCTCTGAAGCCGGCCCCGAGGATGATGAGGCCGAGACCGCGCTGCGCCTCACCCCCCTGCAGAAGCTCACAACTGACATGTGCAAGGACGAGAAGACCATCAAGGAGCTGATCATAGGTCGCAGGGTGGGCTTCTACAAGGTCCGTGGGGAGATCGGTTATGGGACCTTCTCCAGGGTCAAACTGGCTTTCCACGCTCTGACTAAAGGTAAATGTGCAGATGTGTGTGCTACACTTTCATATGCTACTGTTTGGACCATCTGTCGCTCACACCTTGAGGAGCCCCTTTTGGTAAATGGACTGCTGTTTTATAGAGCTTCTCTAGTCTTACGAACCAGTGGAAGCCACATTCACCCATTCACACACCGATGAAACATCAGAGTTCAGTATCTTGCTCACGGATACTTTGAAATGCCGACTGGAGGAGCTGGGAATCAAACCACCAACCTTCCGATTAGTGGACGACCCACTCTACCTCCAAAGGCGGCCAATTCCACCTTTTCCATTTCGACCCTTAACGTTTGCCTGTGACCTTTTCCTTCATCATTATTCAGTCACAGCATAAAACTTGGCTTTGTAAAATGACTGTTTAGTAATTTCCTTCAGAGAAACCCAGAACACTCTGAGAAAAAGCGTAATAAGCAAAAGAGCAAAAGAAAATAAGGTCTTGATGTTCTACATGCACCTGGAACTGAAACCCAAACCCAGCCTGTACCTGCCTCTTTTAGAACCCACCAGAACACCAGTTGTGAGCCAACCTGACCCAAGACCTGAAGTTGTATTTTTGCTTTATTTCATTCATTACTGGCCGTTGGCTCTCCAGGCTAACGCACACGTTGCCTACTCTCTATCTCTATTTCTGGCTAATGTGGATCTACTTGACACACAGATGCAGAGAAAAAAGAAAAAGATTTCTGAATAAAGTACATTTAAAAATAACCACACACAGACTCAAAAACCAAAATCTGAAGTTTTACAAACAACAAAATGGCCTTAACCTGACACGAGGTTGTGGGTCAGGTAGCAAACTACTCTTTTCATTATTAGTTAATCTACAACTTATATTTTTAAATGAATAGTCTGTAAAATGTAACCACTTTTTTTCATTGAGTTAATCTGATGATCAAATGCTGAAAAATGTCCAACAGATGTCTTCCTCAAGTCTGAACAACAGTCCAAATATTATGTAGAAAAAGTAGCAAATCCTCATATTTAAGAAGATGGAACCAGAGACAGTTTTTCATTCTTGCTTGATAAATGACTTTAATTAAAAATGATTAAGGAAGGCTGGAAGTGACGGTTTCAAACTACTTTGACAGTCCAACAATCCAAACACAGAGTAGTATTCAGTTAACAGTAAAGTGAAAGTATTAAAAATCTTCACGTTTAAGAAACTTGAACCAGCTTATGTTTGGAAAAGATTCATTAATTCCAAACACTGTCGTTGAAGTTGAAGTTTGTGTTCCCACTTTACCCGCTGTTGACCAATCATCTGTCCCCCTCGTAGACAAAGTGGCCCTGAAGATCCTGGATAAGATGAGGCTGGACATCCAGGCCCAGCGTCTGCTCTCCAGGGAGATCAGCAGCATGGAGACCCTGCAGCACCCCAACGTGGTGCGTCTGTACGAGGTGGTGGAGACCCCGAGCCGCCTTTACCTGGTGCTGGAGTACGCAGGCGGAGGAGACCTGCACAACAGGATCTGCAACGAGGGAAAGTTTTCTGACAACAACAGCAAGATCACCTTCGCTCAGATCCTCTCTGCCATCAAATACATGGTCAGTGACTCATTTTAGTTTGTTTTTTACGTCATGCGGTTGTATTTTTTTACCCTTAGTAATCATTAACATCACACATTTCTAAACCACAACTAATTAAAAAAGCAACAACTTTTCATTTCAGAAAGATAAAAAGAAAACATCTTAGTAAGACCGCTACAAAAATGAGGAAGAACAAAATGATTTGAAACCACTAACAACACATTTAGATTTTCACACAAACTAAAAACAAATGTAATTAATAATTATTCTATTATTTTCATCAATTACTCTGCTGATTACTTTCTCTATTAATTTATGTTGTCCATGACTGTAATTATTTGCTTTCAACATAATTAATCATAGAACATAGTGTAATTTACTACCATTAAGAGTTCAGTTTGATGTGATCTTTAGAAATTTTTGTTTAAATCCAATAAAAACAGAATCAAAATCAAGGTGAATAACATTTGATAATGGAACCCATGATGTTTGGCCAGATACTGATATGTAGATTTGCTATCATGCTTATAAAGACTGGTGCATCCTTATTATGTGACCTAATGATGATATGAGTGGGTTGGCACTCTGTGGCAAGAAGTTTATTTAAATCAGATGAAAAACTGTTTTGCACACCTGCATCAGTAAACGGCAAAGCCACAGATGCACTGGTCCCTTTAAGGTAATGCCCACGTGTAGTCAGAGATCTTGTCAACATCCATTAGAGCAGAACCTCACACACAGTGTCAAGGACCAGTGCAAAACAGTGGAGAGGCAATAGACCTTTTTTGCAGCGGACATTTTTGGCATGTCATAGCAGGACAATAGGTGTAATGAATAATGTTAATTATGGATTCATTCCACTTCAGTGTGCAGGTTTTCAGGGTCCTGGTATTGTGCATGCTTACTTACTGTTTTTTTTTTGTTTTTTTTTTCAACTGGGAAACTTAAATAGAACTGAGCCACTGCAGTGCTATTGTCTTGAAGAGTTGATTCCCACAGGAACATGTTTGGGTCAGGTCCTTCCTCTTTGCCATGGTCTCTGTCCCTTAAAGTGATTCTCCAGCATTTAGGCTTGTCTGCCGTCTCACCAGCAGTTTCATGACCTCCTACATGTTTAGCTTAGATCAGCACCACCACAGGAAGCTCTGGGAAACTAGCAGCTGACAGCTTGGTCTTATTTTTATGATGAGGCTTCATTGATCACAGGATCTCTGTCAGTGTGCAGCGAACAACATGGGAAGCTTTCAAGGTTTTGAAATGGTACAGATTTGAGCCAGTTATCTAAAGCACTCCTTTGTGAAAACAAAGATGGCTTTTAAACTTCTTTGACCTACACTTGTTACTGCAGAGCTCGCATGCAGGTTTACAAAGCAGTGTCCAATCACAACAAACTTTTCAAGGGAATTCTCATTTGTTTTCACTTCCAAGTTGTTTGGATTACATTGTTTTGTTTACATTGACTCATTATGATTCTAATATGTCACAATTATACAGCAGTGAAGTCCTGAGAAGAATAGAAAGACTGTTCACTTACAGTCTGAGTTATAGCAAAAACAACAGCCACAGATCATCTACAATCTCAGACCTGGTGGATATGTACCAGTTTCAAACTAAACATGTGCTTCGTTCTGCAGCACAACATCAACATCATCCACCGGGACCTGAAGGCGGAGAACGTTCTGTTCACCAGCGCTGGCTGTGTGAAGGTGGCTGACTTTGGCTTCAGCACGCAGGTCTCAAACCGCAACAACGCCCTCGACACCTTCTGCGGCTCTCCACCCTACGCGGCCCCGGAGCTCTTCAGGGACGAGTGCTACCTGGGGCCGCCGGTGGACGTGTGGGCCATGGGCGTCCTGCTTTTCTTCATGGTGACCGGCACCATGCCGTTCCGCGCTGACACCATGGGCAAGCTGCGGCGCTGCATCATCGAAGGCGCCTACACCGTCCCCCCCTGGGTGCCCGGGCCCTGCCAGAAGCTCATCAAGGGCATTTTGAAGACAGTCGCGGCCGAGCGCTACGCTGTCGACCAGATGATGGGCTGCGATTGGCTCTTACCTGTGGAGTTTCCCTGGTCGTTGCTGCCTCCCGAACCAGTGAGCCCTCTGCAGAGCCTGCTGGACTCGGAGTACGGGGACCTGGAAGAGATGGTGGAGGAGGTCAGGGGCTCGCTGGAGGAGCTCGGCTTTACAACGGAGCACCTACGAAACAATCAGCCCAAAGACAGCCGCAACCCCTTCACCGGGGTTTATCGAATCCTGCTGCACCAAGCCCAGAAGAGAAGGGGCTGCGACTGCCTCCCTGTGGTCCGAGGCATGGTGAGGGATCCCAAGAGAGAGGGGCTCCGGGCCTACAGGGGCCTCCGACACACCTCCAAGTTCTGTGTGCTTTCATAAGAGAGAAGCTTCAGCACAGTTTTTATACAGACTTTTATACCAACAGAACCAGTAGCATTAGTGATTTTTTTTTTATTTTACTTTGTGTAGTTTTTACAGACAAATATTTTTGATAAATGTATTTTACTCCTTCCAATGCAGCATTTTGTCATAGCCTAACCTGTGAGTGAAAGTGCCTAATGAAATGAAACAACAGTGATAGTTGTTGCTCCTTGCAGGAACAGTGAATTTAGATTCATCCTGTAAAACTTGTATTAAATACAGCAGCAAGGCAATATACAGTATCTATAGCGATGAATCTGTTGATCATGATTGTCTGGTTAATTGATTAATCATTTGATCCAGTGATTACTTGAAGTGAAGCAGTGCTGCTCAGTGTAGTTTATGGCCTTAGTGTCTGAGTGTGGACATGAGTTGTCAGCAGTCCAACTGAAGACTCAGGTCTGAAGATGTAAATAAGTTTATTTCTTATCTTTTTAATCTTCCTGGGTTCCAGTGGGGGTCCCATCCCTTATTTTGAGAACTTTATTCTGTAAAATGTTGGAAAATAAAATAATGAGAATTGCCCTTAACAGGTTTTCCCTGATGCATTAAGTCTTGTCATGTAAAATATGATATTTGTGCACATGATTTTGGCCTTTCCTTTTGAGCGCACAGAGGACTTTCAGGAAATATTCAAATAACAAATGTTAAAGTTTCTTCAAGCTTACACCCACTTAAACCATTTCTGTCTCTTATTGTTTATGAAAAAAGAAATAAAGTGATTAAAGGAACTGATGTGTCAGGCAGATTTCATTGTTGAGATGCAGAGCAGGTGCTGCTGCTGCTGCTGCTGCTGCCGCTGAACCCAAACAGAGCTGATCTGGCGACTTTGTTGCCTGTTTACCAAAGTTTCACTAAGTGCCTGCTAGTAAATAATAGTCCGGACAGCAGCTGGCAGGACACCAGATGATACCCAGGACCCCCTCGCGTCTCCACAACCGGCCCAAACCAGTCAGACCCGAAGCGACTGCCCCCAATGGAAACTGACTAACCCCCGGCTCCTCCCAGCCCCTGCCCTGCCCGACCCCCACCTGCAGGAAGCGGCAGATGGCGCGGCGTGGCTGCAGAGACATCTGCAGGCCAGACAATAGGCGCTCTGTGCGGACCGCTGGAGCTGACAGGCCCGGAGCTCCGCTATTGTGCGCTGCGCCATACACATGCAGATGAGGTCTGCAGGGGGAGGGACCGCAGTTTTTTTTTTTTTTTTTACTACTGGGACAACAGTGAGCAGATGACAGGCCTTAGCGCCTTCCATGCAAATTTTGCTGAGTTGTAAACTTTTGTTAGTTTCATAACACCCCCAACCCTCACCACCTCCTCCACCCAAACACACACAACACACGCACACTTGTAAATCATAAAAGCCAGGTTTGTAGAGAAAGTGAAAAGACATAACACCAGAAATATCATCTTTTGTCTTTTATTGAACATTTTCCACTTACAATTTCTAATGTCTGTCAAACTTATGAATGAGTTTGTTTCCAACAGGATCAGAATATCTTCAGTCAAATCTTCATTTCTTTAACATTTCTTTCTTCATTACATAATGAAGTGTTTATAAGATCATTTTACAACTTCTCATATTTTTTAACATTAACTTAATTGAGCCATTTTCTAAAGTGAAACCTTTAGAGAAAAGACTTTTTCAAAGTTTTTTTTTTTCTTTTTTTTGTTTAAGAATATTTTTGTCATTGTTAAATTTCTAAAGTGAAACCTTTAGAGAATTAAGACAATTCTGGAAAGTGGGAAACATTTTCGCTGACTGCAACTGTTGTCATGTTGCTCAGCGAAGAGGACATCTTTAAAAAGTCCCTTTTTAAGAAGGCCTCTTCCTCAGCACCGCTTCTTCTCCTGCTGCGCGTGCTTCAACGTGCGACATTTGCTCTGTGGGACCACAGGACGCAGAACTCGCTTCTCCTTCCTCTCCAAACCTCATCCGCACAAAGAATGAGGGTCGATGTGTCGCTCTTGTGGCATACCTGACCTCGTTCACATAAAGAATGAGAGTCATCTTGGCATGGACGGGACAAGAGGCGACGGTTCACGGGGGCCCTCCTCGGGCCGGCGCCGTGCTGCCTGGACGGGAATCCTCCTCAGGAGTATCCAGGGATGAGCAGAAACAGGGTCATCCTGTTCATCAGGATGAGTATTTCCAGATAAGAAGCTTCACAGCATCTGAGCAAGAGAGGAGCCGAGGCCCAGATCAACGCTCGGGGAGGCTGATCTCAGGGACCCAGTCGTTCAGACGGCGGCTCTCCTCACAGAACAGGTGCAGCTTCTCCAGAGCAGGGTCCTCCCAAGACCCGTCAGCTGGGTTCTGTTCAAGCAGGAAGAGGGGAGAGAGTTTAGTCACGCGCGTCTTTCAAAACAGCATCACGTACAAACATGTGAAAGATAACAATAACAGAACATGATTTAACTGAGGTCTACATACCGTGATGAGGACGCAGTGAGCGTCTTCAAGCTGCTCCGCCTTGTCACCAACGATCTCAGCCAGACGCTGCATGTCGCTCACTCTGACGATGCTGATGTCGTTGTCGAAGCAGAAGGACTGGATGAGGGTGAAGTGGATCTGGAGAGCGATGTCACACTCGAACTCCTCATCCATGGCCAGGACGCAGAAAGACACACTGTCCGGGTCACTGTGGAGAAACAATAAAGAGAAAAATCTCGTGAGATTTCATCCAAAACACAACCCAAAGTACCAGAGTGTATCCGAGTATGTGAACTGTCTCTCTTCAGCTGAGTCTCATACTTACAGATTCATTATTTTTGCGCTCTCGTAGACACCGACGGTGAGGGAGTCGTTGTCTTTAGCGGACACCAGGACCTCCTCCAGGGCTTTGCCGGTGCACTGAGCACGCTCGGTGGGTTTCTGGATCAGAACCTCCTCAAGAGTCATGATGAAGATGAAGATATTCCGAAAAGGAAGCGCTGTAGAGAGTTGGATCGGAGAGTAAATCCGGAGTGGGAGCAGAGTGCTTACAAACTCGCAGCCTCCCTCTTTTATACTCTCCAGCTCGTGCGGCGCAGTGAAAGCGCAGCGCCCTGATTGGCTGAAGCTGAATGGTGTATTGGTATGATAATGCTATTGTCACACTCCGGCTCGTGGCAGATTGATGGGGGTCATCGAGCCACGCACGCTCCCCCTCTGCGCGCAGCAGCCGGGCCTGAAACTAAAAATAGCTTCTTCTTTAAAAAAAAAAAAGTTTGATCACTCTGCAGCACTACATTGGTGCAAATGAAAGGAAACACAGCAGGTGATTGTGCTTGCAGAACTACATGCTGAACACCAAGTTCATTTATCCATGCAATTATAAGAACTCTAAAAGTTCTTCTAAAGTTGGCATGCAATGACATGAAGTCTAAAAACTGCACAGAAGCGTCTTATTGTTCTTTTTAGGAACGCAAAAACTATTTTGAGACCTTTTGAAACTCAGCTCAACATGCCACAAACTAAATAGCCTAAATACTGATGAATGAACTCCACTGAAAGAAAACCCAACAAACTCTCAACAATGTTTTTTACATGTTAGACTTATGTTGATAGTATTTCAGAAACAACATGGAGAAAGTCTGAAGGGCCCCTCCCCCCCTCTCCCCGAGCAGCAGAGAGAAAGGGCAGGTGGATGATGCCATCTGTGGACTAGAGGCTGGCCATAAAACGGCCTCATTGTGCGCGCAGAAGCCCTCTATTATCACGGCCCCCCATACAAATGCAAATGAACAGCGCGTGCCAGAACGCTGTGCGTGCTGCGCAATCTGCATTGCTGGCCCATGCGGACCACGTGGCCATCAGCTGTCCAGAAAATCCTTGCTAGCTTTTTATTTATTTACTCTGGGGAGTTCAGGGGCCACACGGACTGAATTCTATAGGACAACTTGTGAAGTTTATTGCACTGTTGTTTGGTATTTGTTGCAGAGATGCACCAAATGTTTTCATCTGTGATTCAATTTAAAGCAATTTCTGCAACTTTCTGTTATTTTCCGATCACTTTTACGCACGACGAAACATTTACGCACTCATCATGTCCACTGATTTCTCCCCAATACCTCCTGCTTATTTGTTTCTGTTTGGTATTTTGTGTAGATGCACTGCATGTGTTTGTCTTTTGATTTAAATAAATATGACATCTGACAACTTTCTATTTATTCCCTGTCACTTTTATGCACGACAAAACTTTTACGCACGGGTCTATTTCTTTTCTTCCACTGATAGAGCAGTTTCTCCCCAACAGCTCGTGCTCATTTGATTATCATTAAGCTGCATAATAATTCAAAACACATCTTGCATCAGGTCAGACCTGCTGCCACTGCTGCGTAAATATAGTGGAGGGGGGGCTGGAGTGGAGAGGCGGTGCAGGAGGAGACACAGGTTGGCGGTGATTGATTCAGCGCTATTGTTCTGCGGAAGGCAGAGCGGCAGATGGAGAACTGTCGCTATGAGGGGACCCCCCCACCCATCCTGCTCTTTTCTCTCCAAAACCCAGGTCAACCCCGACCCCAGGGCGCGCCGATCTTTTGTCAGCGAGTCTCCACATTCGCCAGTCTGTTGTCTGAGTTTTGATTAAATTTGAATGCCAAAGAGCAGAGCTTATGGTCTAAACTTTCACAATGACAAGTGTTATCTCCAAAGAATGCCAGACGCGTAAATGCAGATAAAAATCACTCTCAGTTTGAGCTGTAAACACGTGCAAGAATGCTGAAAGTGTGTTTTGCTAAACAACAAATCGCTTATCTGCACATTATTGCAGCAACAAAATCATCTGTTTATTTGTACCTCGCTTTCAGTTTCTGTCCGCGTGCTGCAGACTCATCAGCAGGTCAGCTGGACGGGAGGCTCAAAGTTTGATTTGGATCCAGCTGATAGTGAATCAAACGCACGGGCTATTTTAGGAAGGATCAGCTTGCATGGCCACAGGGCAGGCGCGTGCAAATCGATACCGAGCCTTTGTTGCTGAAGCACATCTGCCAGACGGAGGCCTCCCCGGCAGCGCGCGACAGGTGTTGGTGGTCAAAGCTCTCTTCTGGTGACCTGGGGCGACTCCACAAAGCCCTAAACCTCTTTGTAAAGATGGAAGTGTCTAAAGCTGGAGGATAAGTCAACCTTGTTTATATTTGGCTTCTAGTTTGTTCTAATATGACATGGGCTTTAGGAAAATAGGCCAATATTTTAGTAGGTGTACAACAATTATTGTTTTTTCTTTTATCAAATAACTGATTCTGAGCTACAATATAGCAGAAAAACGATATAAACCTAAACATAAACATAAAGTTATATGTAGGTTCTTAAATTTTGCTAAACTTCATCGTTAGGTTTTGTTTAACCTGAAGACTCAAAAATCATATTTGCAGCGAAATGAAACACTGCGGCCATCACGCCCAGCAGGTGCTGTCTGACTTCCTTTCTCCACCCTCCCTTCACCTTCTCCTCGGGGACAGATGGTATCTCTCAGTTGCTATGGAGAGTGATGCAGACAGAGAGATAAAGCACGCAGGCATCTCCAGATGCCACGCGCCTCGAGTAAGGCCCGGCTTTACGAATGCAAAGCAGCGGCGCGTGCCACTGCCCAATCTACAGAAAAACAGTTCAGGCAGTGCAATTGGTCACGAGTTATAAAAGTGTGTCGGACACCCAGTAGCTACAGTTACAATGGTGGATATCAGCATCAGAGCGTTCAGAACAGTATTGATCAGTGTTTTTTTTTTTTATCAACAATGATTAATTACTGTATTTTCCAAACATTATCATGCAGTTTTTATTTTTATTTCTCTCATAGCACAGGATCTGGAAAATTAGGCCTTTGCAAAAACTATGTAACTTCATCAGAAACATTTGCAAGTTTTAGCTTCTTATCTCCATGGTATGCATGGTTTTAAATATCACGGTTTCTATAACAGTGTAGGGACATCCAGAGATAAAATATTGCTTTAAAAATGGATGCAAAAAAAGAGAATGTCAAAACTTGAGAAGAAAAGGTTTGTATGAGACCTAATGTGACAACTTTTATCTTAAACTGCAGTCAGAGAACAATATTGAATTTAAACTTTTATTTTGAAGGTTTTACACAACAGGCCACAATACAAAGAACACGTTTCTTCTTTTGACATGAATATTCATTTGCTGAAGTGAAACCTACAGGTAGTGTTACATTGCGTGTTGTGGTGTACTTGCACGTTCAAGCTTCAAGGTGAGAGTTTCAGCTGCAGGCAGTCATTGGCCTCCATTCATTTCCATATAACATGAAAATCAGCAGACTCTTGAAACTTGGCTGACCACTTACAGTGAAAATCAGGTCTGCCATCGCTAGTTCAGTGTTGACCTGAATGAAAACAGGTTTGATGTTCAATATGATGGATTGCACAACTCAAGCAAACAATTGTCTGATGTTTGTTTTGCACAGAAATGAATGGAGGCCAATGGCTGACTGCACTGGAAAAAATACATTTTAAAATCTGACCTGAATCTTGAAACATGACACAATATGAAAGGACAATAACAAAACAGAAAAATGTAGCACTTCTTGACGGTTTCACGTATTCACAGTGCTGCAGGGTCCCAATGGTTTCCATTCATTTTCTGTGCAGTTTGAAAAACAATAGCAGACTCCTGAATCTTGTTTGAGTTGTGTAATCCACTAAAGTGAAAATCAAATCTGCGTCAGTTTTGGCAGAAGTTACTGATTGCTATTGATCATTGTCATTAATAATTTTTGATCACTGGGTGGTAACAGTTAAAGTGCAGGCTTATTTGAAAAGTCATGGCTAAATTAATTTGTAACAATAATGTAACTTGATAAAAATGAATGTGGACTTGATGTTCACATGCGATGGACAACAGTTCTCAAGCAATTTTCGAGATTCTGTTAATATAATTAATATCAATATTGATACCATACTGAAATGAATGGAAATCATCATAAAATTACATTACAGACATGCAACTCAGTGGTTGGTGGTCTTCAAAATGTTTAGCTGTGTGTGTGAGATACTGTAGATGATAACATGCAAACCCCATTGTGGAGTCCTCTAAAAGTTTGAATGGCAGTTATTGGTCGCTTCTAATTCATCCTGAACTTTGAGGACTTTGACGACAGCAGTCTGGTCTTCCTGTGTGGTTTCATTATTCCTGTATGCTCAAAGAATCACTTAAAGGTCAGAGAGTTTCTACATCTGATCCTTTCAACCAAAGCTGCCCCCGACTTTCTAAGACTTTCTATAGGCACGCGTCCCTGAGGGTGGGGTGGGGGCTCCAGGCCTGTTGTAGCCATTGTGCCCCCAGCAGCCAATCAGGGAGTGAGCGTGTGCCGGGTCTGCAGTATAAATGCTGGCACACTCTAGGAAGCAGCACAAACACTGTTCTCTGGACTTTCTGACCACATCAGCTGTACTGTGAGAAACAAACGTGATCATGCAGTCTCCTGGAAAATCTCTGAAGGAAGCTCTGCTCTGCGCTCAGAGCGAGGACCGACTCACTGTTGGAGTGTATGAGAGCGCTAAAATTATGACTGAGTAAGTAAACTAAACATGACTTAAATATGACTTTGGCATATTCACTAATGACCCAACTTGATCAATATCTGAGAGCTGTAACTAACAGGACGCGTCTTTTCTTTCTCCACAGTGACCCGGACAGTGTGTCTTTCTGCGTCCTGGCCATGGATGAGGAGTTCGAGTGTGACATCGCTCTCCAGATCCACTTCACCCTCATCCAGTCCTTCTGCTTCGACAACGACATCAGCATCGTCAGAGTGAGCGACATGCAGCGTCTGGCTGAGATCGTTGGTGACAAGGCGGAGCAGCTTGAAGACGCTCACTGCGTCCTCATCACGGTATGTAGACCTCAGTTAAATCATGTTCTGTTATTGTTATCTTTCACATGTTTGTACGTGATGCTGTTTT